ATGGACATACCCATCATATATTAATAACTAAAGGAAAAGAACAGAAGAACTAAAAAACAACACCAAGACTACAATAACACACTCTGATAATATTAACACCAGTCGCATTCACTACTTGAATAAGAGGTATTAGGAGTATCCCTTTTTTAGCGTGGTTTAGTTAGTCAAAAAAACATTGGAAAGGGATTTTTAATGTCAAGATGTGCTCGGACTTTTGTTTCTCTAAAACTACGCGTCCTTGTATGCATCAAACATTTGCATTCTGAAGTGCTCAAACAGGGGCTTGTGACAGTAAAAGGAATTAAGTCAAGGTTGGATGTGAAGAAGGGGATTGAACCTAAGTTCTATAAAGCACATCAACTTCCGTATACGCTTTGCAGACAACCGATGAAGAGGAGTATAATCAACTGTAGCGTAAAGGTATCATAAAGAAGGTAGATTTTAGTGAATGGGCAACTCCCATGATGCATTTTCCTAAACGTGATAGTATGACACGATCATGAGGCGACTATGCAGTAACAGTAAACCCCCAGCTCTAGTTCCTCATTACTCTATTACACTGCCGGAAGAAGGCTTCTGCATGTTACATGAAAGACAACTCTTTACAAAGCTGGACTTAAAGAATGCGTACCAACAATTACTTCTTAAAGACGAGAGTTAACAATACGTCACAATTAAGACTCATAAGGGCCTGCATTGCTATAAGAGACTCCCTTTCGGCATTGCAGCGTAACCTGCATTTTTTAACGCTATATTAATGTTATTTTGCAGAGATTTGATATAATAAAGTAAATGGTTTGAACCCGGGAGTATCGTTACATGTTTGTAAATGTCGATCGTCCAGGTTGGTATAGTCCTGAGAAACAGTCCTTCTCAGGATTATACCAACAAAAACAGTCCTTCTCAGGACTATACCAACCTGGACGATCGACATTTTCAAAGATTTGATATACTCGTGACGGGGAAAGATGAAACTGCCTATATTCGAAATCTTGAAACAACTCTGGATTGGTTGCAAGAAAATAGTGTTAAATTCGTCTTAAACTGCAGAAATAAAAATTTATGCATAAGTCAGTGACGTACATGGAATGCCTAATTTCTTTATCGGGAATCAAACCTACAGAAGAAAAGGTCGAAGTAGTTAGGAAGCACCAATGCCAGAAAATGTCACGCTCAAAATATATTTCCTTGGAATGTTGAGCTGCCTTGGTAAGTTCAATGGAATCTGAGTTAAATCCTTTATAATCTAAGTCAGCTATTACAAAAGGTTCATGACTACAACTGGTCACCAGAGAATGAAAAAGTGTTCCTATTGGCTAAGAACTATCTGTCGTCCTTGCCCCCAATTCTGCTACCTCAACTTTAGCAGTAGAACGTTTACAACGTTGGTCATTCGTCAATACGAGATCCGCTACAAGTCGTCTACGGGCATAGCCAATGCTCATGCCTTTTCACGACTCCATCTGCAGTATCAATACGACGATAGCGTTGAAGAGAAGTATTTAACATTGCACATTTCAGATCAAATTGTCATGCAGTTTCAGCTAAAAAAATAGCCAAAGAGACAGCTCGGGACAAAGTCTTATCGAAGGTCTTGGACTTTACCACTACTGGATAGGATCAAGGATCAATTATGTAATGTTCTGAAGCTCAAGCCTTATGTGAGGAGAGACAAAATTTTCATTGAAGAAGGTTGTCTACTCTGGAGTTTACACGTGATCATTCCTCCTAAATTTCAAACAAAGTTTGAGAGGATGAAGTCAATGTCACGGAGTTATGTGTGGTTGCCGAAATTAGATAGCACCATCGAAGAAACCATCAAAGTATGCCGACAATGCGCAACTACCATTTTTTCCTCTTAGCACATGGTCGTTGAAACGGTAGAAAAGGGTCTATGCTCATTTTGCGAGTCATGAAGGAAACCATTACCTTGTGCTGCTAGATGCGCATTTCAAGTGGCCCACAAGTAATTGGACCTATAAAGATAACATCTGCTGAAGCTACACTTAATGCATTGCGCTGCATCTTCCATCGGTGAAATCTCCCTACGCAAGTTGTAAGTGACACAGCCATCCATTTCAGTCCGTCGAGTATGACGAATTTCTAAAACAAAATGGAAAAACAACGAGTCCTGGTCTCCCCTTATCATCCAGCTTTCAATGGACAAACTACGTTGTTGGTGCAAACGTCAAAAAGCTTCTTAAAAACAGCTGACTCTCAGTCTCATTTTGTCTAACGAATCCAGTGTGAGAAACCCAATACTGCAAGTGTAGTGTCAGAAAATCAGTTGCAAAGGAAGAGCTTTTATGATCAGCATAATTAGTACAGAGAATTTCAAGTTGGGCAGTCTGTCCTTGTACGAGATTATAAGTCAAAAGCGAAGTGGCAACCAGGAACCATTTCTGGAAAAAATATGCCCAACTCATATACCGTAGCTTTACCAGAGCGAAAAATGTGGAGGCATTATGTTGATCAACTGTTTAAAGATAGTCCAGTGAGAGTCCAGCAAGCTGTACCTATTCCTAGTAATCTTGGAAATCAGACGAAATTACGGGACTTATCAGTATTATCTATATCATCCATGTCATCTACATCCTCCCTACCATCTACTCCCTCACCTCCTATTTAGCCTAATGCAAGTTTGACAACAGGTCCACGGGAGAGGAGTCAAAATTATCCATCTGAAGGCGCACAGGGCACCTCAGTTACCATTGAGTGTCCTATTAATCATTTGGATGTAATAAATTTGAAAACAAAACAACAAGAAGACACAATAAAATGGCACAATATGCAGCGTTGAATGTTGTAATCACGACATTGAATTCTCACCAGCAATGCTTAAATATTTTCTCACTTTGTTTAAGTTATTTTTCTTGTATCCCAGTCCAACATGTACACTATAGAAACGTCTTTCTAAGATACTATATAGCAAAACAACAAATCGCAAATCGTTCAACAACTTCGTGTGGTCCATTTTTTCGCAAAAGTTCTAGAGGGCTTAGTAATGGAAGATAACAATTGAAGACAATAAAAGATGAACATTTGAACAATTGATCACAATAGAAGTTTCTTGCAAAAGAGAACAAGACTTGAAAAGAAGATAAAAATAAATGCAACTGAAATCAGAAATAAAGATACATGAATAAATTAACTGTCAAAGGTAAGGCTAAATGCAATAGATGGAACACTTGCATGCAATCGTTTTACAAGCCAAGAAAGATTATTTACAAGTGTGGAAAGCAGTTTGTGAAAGGTTTTGGAGTAGAAATAGAGGATAAATTAAAAAAAGGTGGGTATCCATGCACTCAATGACAAGCAAAAACATCAATGAATAAAGTCTGGATGAAAAAGATGTGACGTGTTACGATAGAAGAGAGGAAGGACAGTTCTTGTTTGTAATGCCTTGGAACAAAAGGAATAATGGTTTTGGCAGAAACCTTCGACTAGTACGAGAAAAACTGGAAAGTGTTAGGATGAATACAATACATCAGTTATAAAGGTGGAAATATACATCAAGTAATTTACTGAAACAAACGCATGTTCGGGGGAATCGAACGTGGAGGTTATAAAGAAATGAAAAAGAGTATCATTGGCATCGACTCCTAACAAAGCGAGTAATGTTTTCAACAATGATGTTGGTCTTGTTGCAGTCTTATAACTAATTACACTCCGCTGATAAAACCAGCGGGTGTTAAGCGCTTGATAAAACCAGCGGGTCTTAATAATCAACAAATAGGCTGGATTATGTGATTGATCTCAAAATTTTAAATGCTTATTTCGTAAGTGCGTTCAGACATTACCAAACGAGTGTCTCGGCTGATTTTTGATCTCTCAGCTCCAACCAGTACCCATTCTTTTCCCTCTCATGATTTAAGGAAAATTCTTAATTTTGATATTTGAAATTTAACTTTCATCATCAAGCGACATGTACTTCATACTTTATGGCATGACGATTTTGGCTTTTAAAATACATCGGTTCTTCTTAGCACATTTTCACACATCTGGCTCTAAAAACATTTGATAAAGAACCCTTTGGCGAATTTTAACCCATTACAAACCATTAACAAGGATGGCAGGTGCTCATTTTGTCGCCAACGTTTTACAAACATTGTCAGTAAATTTAAATATGATTAAAGAGAATCAAACGACAAGAATCAAACAACATAAATATGCATATACGTTGTATTACAAAGAACAGCATTCTCGAGAAAGCTTCAAAAACTTGGTATTCTTTACTGTAAACAATTCCCTCACAAGCTTATAATCCTGAAATTTAGCACAAAAGTTTTGACCATAAACAATACTAGGATTCTTATTTGAAACTAAAAACTATTTTGTATTGTATCATTAGTAGGATTGGTATTTTCATATAAAGCAATTTTTATGTTACAATAATTTGTATTTTTTTGTTTAACAACATGGCAGCTCAAAAACCCTGTTTAAGCCCCTACTAAAAAATGCCAAGCTCAGTGTGACCATGAGATGCAAATTTTTTACCAGATTTTGTCGGATGATGTTAAAAACTCCCTCCTTTTCTGAGCTTTTCATTTCTATAAAGCAGGTGGAAGATTCTTCAGTGTCACGATTGGGATTATGAGGCTTAGTTTTCTCTACATAAGAGCGTGGTAGCTATGCCCTGTTTAATCTGGAATCTCTAGCGTTGTAGATTAAAATAGTTGTAAAATCACGTATGTCAATTGTCATTACTTAAAAATATATAATTCAACTAAGATTGCAGTCATTAAATCACAAAGATACTCTTGAAAGTTAATTTCGTACTTTAAAAAAGGGCCATTTCGAGTACAATGATGGTTGACCCTCTCTCTAAAAATGTCCACAAATTAAGAATGTTTATTCGTGGAGGCTGATAGAGATAATAAACTCGTAAAGGCAAAACGTATGTAAATATAGCAGCAAACAAATATCTAGCTGCGTTTTCCTTTTTCACAAATTGTCTCATATTTTCGGAAACATTTAATGAATAATAATGAAGACAGAAGTCAGCAAATGCATGTTTTTATTTTAATGAAAATGCTTTCATAAAGAAACCGCGAGTAGAGCATATGCAAATTACGACAAAAGTTGTGCTATTATATACTACAAATATTCTATTTCGTCTAAAAGACACATTTATACAATAAATGATCGCACAAGATAAAATATAAATAAAACTTTAGTGTATTAAATATTTCTTTATCCTACATGTTCCTGGCTCAGTTTACTCTATGCTAACTCTTTTTATCCTGATAATATTCATAACAGAGGGAAACTAATATGAAATCTAACACATGTAGCAACTATGTGTCGACCTCAAGGCAATGCAATTTGATTTGATATGTTTCAGTAGTTAAAAGTTGATTGAAAATTACTGCTCTGGTTTTAACTGTAACACATTTTTGCAGTTTTTGGTACAGGATATGCTGTTTCATTAAAATATATACATTGTCAAAAGAAACCAAACTATAATAGTTGAAATATTCTAGCAGAAATGAGCGCCAAACGTCTTCAGTTAGCGCTTCTTATGGCAGAGAATTAAAATCGTAAAGAATCATGTTCATTTTTCAACAATTGCATGTTGTTTACAGCTGCATATTTTCTTAAAATTTTATGTCAAATATCCGTTGCATTATTCACCTTTAATATTTTTCTAAGTTCATGTCATCATAACCATCAGGATAAGTTATGCATACAGACTCCTTCAGAGTTATTAGGAGCAATAACCATATTTTGGTCTGGATACAAAAGTGTGAGCAATAATTTTCTCAGTAGAATAAGTTTTCATTTTCTCATTTCCAAGACCTTCTTTATCAATTGCTCCTTGCGTTTTTTCTGCAATCGCATTTCTTTTAGCAGCTCCTTCTCTTCTTCCTGTAGTTGCAAGATATAATTGTACGCTTTAAGAAGTATAGAAACCTTTGGTGCTCGATCATTGCCGCAAATCTCTGGAATCGAGTCGCGAAGATACTGGAAACGAAGTTTCAATTCATTTCTCCTTTTGCGCTCTAACACATTGTGCGTTGCGCGACCAATCATCTCGCACTCAGGATCAGACTCATCACCAGACAAAAGTTGTGTTTTCTGGTCGCCAACATTGTCCAAATCGCTACTGATTGAGCGTCTGCGCTTGACTCCCGATCTAAGTTTACTAGAGTAGTCGTGATCCATACCACTACTTGAGTTTTCTAACGGGCTAGCAGTCGCTGCTGAATTGTCAAAATTCAAAATTTCTACATTTTTTCCTAAAGCTTTCTGCTCTATCTTACTGTCATCGTCGTCTTTGTGACCGACCTCAACACTTACAACATCTACTTCAACTTCTTCATCTACAACAAAAGAAAGATAATCAAGTTATTAAATCATCCTCTCTGCTAACATTTATTTCATACTTAAATTGCAGGAATAGAGAAATACTCTTTCTTGCACAATATAATTGAAACTGAAACGAGAACGTGTTGACGCAGTATTTCCATACACTCTATAAACAACATTAACAGTTACGTATCAATGTCGTGGAAACTGGTTAGTGATAGCCCAAAACAAAGACAACGTAACAAATTATACTTGTGTAAGTTGTTTTTCGTGCAAGACAATGACCATTAGATGGAAAATATAATCATTGGCTAATTAAAATGCAAAGTTGCCGTTCGATTTTGTTTAAGATAAAATTATACCAGAATAAAAATGATTCGCGTTCTTCTTTTATAGCCATCATAGCACCATAAACTATAAATGACGAATACTTTATAATTTTTTCCTAGCGTCTCGTGTGGTGCCCAAGTTTCGTTTGCAATAATCGTCGGAAAATTAATTGTTTATTAAAATACTATAATTTTTGACAGAAGTATACTGTAGCCATGCAAGTAGATTTGCACATTTTTGTTCAAAAATCATGCGCAAAGGCTTGGGAATATAGTCCATACTTTTCTTACTTTGTAGTCCAAACTATGTGACCGTGAACTTAAACACCGACTTGTACGATCTTACAAAGTGCCATTCTTACACACTTGAGACATTTTTTACTTCTTGTTGAATTTAGCTAGCTTTAATCGTCAAATGGCGTTCAATCTTTGCCGTGTGCCAACCGGGAATTGATTATTTGCTCAAGAACCGAAGGTCTCGTAATTTTGAAAGTTTGATTAAGAATTAACATCACCACAACAATGGCCGAACAAGAAAACAAAATAGTTGAAGGCTCAACTTGCGGTTCGGTAGCTAAAAGATTAGTAGATTTCAGGAAAACGAGAAGGCAGCTGCTTACACGTCATGGTTTAGCAATATGCAAATGTTCTTAACACATTCAAATTAACCTATAATGACTGAAACGACAATATAAATGATCATTTCTAAAGAGTCTTGCTTGTTGTAATTTTAACATTTATACCTTAGAATATCAAATACAACAGCAGCAATACTATGTTTGTACGCTTAGCATTGCCTAATCTTTGTTATCTAAGCAGACATGACCCAATTACCAAAGGCTGAAAACCTTAAAAGAAAACTATACAATCCAATTATTAATCAACGACGGTTAACACAATCCTTTTAAGCAAAGACAAAAGCCACTTTTATTTATAGAACATGACTCAGAAATTAAGAAAAGCGAAACATACTTATCTACATATCTTATTTGAAGAACCAGTAGACAAGATAGGTTCGTAGGCAAATTACCAAACAAGAATATTTCATGTATTGTGAAGCATTTCATTTTAAATTGTGCGTGCACTACTACATAGTTATAACTCATTTAATTTACTACATTGTCAAAGGCTTTTGCATGCACAACACAACATAATTTCGCACACAGATAAAAGCGGAATAGACTATGACGGCAACCTAATGTTATGAATCGTGGCAGAAACACCATTCATTTACATCAGAAATAGCTACATGCTGTCTATATTGAAGAAAAAGTAACAAAGTGTTGACATAACAACGTGAATCTTCTGACTAAAAAATTTTCTTTTAATTTGTTATGATATTGGTGTTCATTGTTTGGTGAACAAAAGTGTGAATCGTCAATATGTGAAAGATGCCAGCAAATGCAGGCTATTTATAATAAGATGTAGTAAAAAATTAATATCCTTTAACGCCCTTTTATTTACTATACATGTTTCCTGTAAACATTTTACAATAAGACAAACAGCCGGTTTTTAAAGACAAACGATTGGAGTTAACTGACTGCGTACATCATAAGATTTATTTCATATTTATCATGAAATAAAAAATAGAACATAGTAATTCGTTTTCATAGTTTTAAAATTCGTCAGTATTGGGTCAATTTCAACCAAGAACGTACGACAGAATTTTTCTCTTACGTAACATTGTCGCAATTATACTCCGTTCAAAATTAAATTACATCTGTAAGGACGCTTGGCAAAGTAAACTTTGCCTCGTCCCGATCTGATTAGTAAAGTTTTCCATGTTTACGCTGCGAAATTATTATATAAGTTCATAAATAGACGGTGCATGACATAGAAAGATAACGACAAAGCATTTATAATACTAACCATTGTTGTCATTCGTATTGTCTAGCGCATCCCATTTTCCCGCCTTTACGTTAACGTTGAGATGAAAGGGCCATATTTCACATGGGTCCACATATGTTATACGCAAGCCACAGTCCATCAGTGGCGGTGTTTTAGTAAGGGATCGTAGCTTTTCAAAACTTTTACCCTTCTTTGGGGTTTCGCCGTTCCACATACAGTCTCGAATTAACATCGACTTCAAGTCGCTTGTACTCGAAACTTCCGATAGTGTTGCGATATCGAAACTTGGTTGATCCAAAGCTAAAGCATCTTGGTACGACTGACCTCCTTCAGGAGAAGCCGGTGGAGTTAGGAATAAATTGATTGGCCACGGTTCTTTCTCGCAGCAAAGTTCATTCATGTCGCAAATTTTGGATAACGGCGAATACCCGTAGAATTTGGCGATCTTAATGTTTAACGATGTGCCGGTCAGGATATCACTCATTTCCCTTTCCAATATATCCATCGAGGCAAAGTACAGGCACTACACAAACTAAAAGCGGCGCGTGATCAAATATTATCAATCGAGCTCTCGTAGTAACACAAATATCAACTTTCATGCACGCATTGTATACGATTTTGTTTACAAAGAGTAGCTAAAAAAGATATGTCGTACCTTGTAACTCTAACTTTTATCGTCAATTTCTTTTTGATGCAGTTTTTCCTGGCAAATTTAGTCCGTGATCATACTGTTTGCTGTATTTGAGCGCGCTTAAGTCAATGGAGACTGTTTGATTTGCGACACAATTCAACTGTTTATAAGCACATGCACTTTCATTCATCGATTCAAAGAATGACAAACAAAGCCTGAATAGCCCGCCTACGACATCCGAATATATTAGCTAAGTTGCTAGACTCAACGGAAATTTTGCCAGTTTTTTGTAGTAAAATTTCAATCAAAACTGTTCTTCTGAAAACTTATTCCACATCAAAGAAACAAATTTTGATAAAGATGGAGAAAAATCATATAAAACAACAACTAAGAGTGCGCACGAAATGCTGTGTCGTTTTTTAAGGGCACAAATGCAACAAAGAGACATGTAAATGATATTCACGAATCATCAAATTCTCTAAATGTAATCATTTTGTTCTTTAAAAAATACCATTGGAATAAACTTTGCTTGAAGAAAGGTATATTTCGCCGTATGCATACATTTATCGACTATTTCAACACCACATGTTCAATCAAACATCTGGCTCACAATTTTAAAAATGTCAATCATTATAAGATCTCTTTGTTCACAATGTGTGTTGCCGCGTGGCGGTAGAAACATTTCAGTCAACCATAGCAAATTAACAATATCATAATCGTCGACTTGCAAGATTCAAAACAAACGGCAAGTCATGAAAGCTTATGTAAAAACGAAGAACGATTGTGGTTTTGCATAAAGAATTGCTGCACGAAGCGACGTGGATGATCATAAATTACACCAAGAATTTTGCTGCTTATAAATATATGCAGGCGAGTGTAAATGACAAAATCCTTGGATATCAAAGGCGTGAAATTAGCTATCAGGAAAGCAGAATCCTTAATTATTTTGCAGGATCGACAGATAAATGATCGATAAGCGATTATTATTTAATCTGAGATCATTTATTAAGTATATATCAAAAATGAGTGTCAAAACATTCTATTTTCGTACACATAAGATACCACAGGCACCAATTTAAATTACACTGTGTCTCGGCGGAAGTTTATCTCTTTGAGGTGTGAACTTGAACTTATATTGAGACAGCAATTGAATAAAAAGTTGACTGCACTAAATATTGTGGACTATAAATTCACTTATCAACTAAGGCCAAACAGTATTTCTTGACATAATATGCCGAAACTTATCATGCACATAGGTTCTTTTATGCACTATGCAAAGTGAACAAAAATTCTAACTAAAGCTTTCACATCGCTCGTATAAAATACCACAGACTTTTGATGAAAAATATGCATGCAATACTGTAGTTAATAGTATTTTTAAAAAATAAGAATGTACAGGTGACTGGAAAGAATTAAACGTGTGAGTGAGGAGTCGGTGCAGAGAAAAATTTCAAACGGAATGACCAAACGATACATAGAACAACGAAATTATATACCAAACGTGTTTATTGCTTTTAAGCATGTGCAAGCGACTACTATATAATAAAACTTTGTAAAGTCATCAGCTGAGTAGACAAACATTTGACAAAAGCCGATCTCTTCTATGTATGGCGGTGTTTTCAATGAGTTTCCATACCCGTGCATCTGACGTTAATTCTGTTGAATAATTTTGCGGACGAATAAACCATCTCTTTTTGTTCTTTTCACAAACGATGTAAAGCACAAATCCTTCTCCTAATAATTGCTCTCCAAGATTATTGATGTTACATGACTACGTGTATAATTGCTCTCCAAGATTATTGATGATTATTGTGTACATGACTACATGTATAAATTGCAAGATTTGCTTTTGTATAAAAGTAACATGAGATGACATAAAGATATTGTTGTCTTGCTGAAAGCAAAGAAAATCTTTGGTAAAAATGGTTAAAAAAAGCACAAAAACTTTTTGAGTCGGTGCAAACTCTTCACAATAATTTCCTATTAAATTGTTTAAAATTTTTACTTAAAATCATAATTATAATAAATCAAAGGTGAACCCGGACCAAGAACTCTAGGTATTGGTATATTGGTTCTTGATGTATTTTAATAACTGGAGTTGACGTAGCACGTTAAATTAGACAAGAACAGTAGGGCTAACATTTAGCCAATACAGGTAAACAGAAAGAAACCAGTACTTAATGGCATACCATTGCAGGTAGCTGTTAAAGCGAATAATTACTTAGTGCATTTTCTTTTGTCTGTGCGAATAACAAAGATACCTATAAACACAGCTATTAGTGTACAACAGCAGCACGCAATGTTTATTAGACAACGTTGTACGGCGCACATTTTCGTGTTTATTCGTACTATCTCTAAGTCACGATTGTTATGGCTGCGACTTCGACGTTGGTAAAGAACTACAAAATTTTTTGATAAGTCTTTGTACAGCACGATACGATCGTATTTAAAGTCAACTATGAAACTTATAATTTCCTAATTAATTTGCACAACAGTAAGTTCTGCCTGAAGATTTGAGTAGAGATGAGGAGTTCATTTAGTGATAGCTGCAATGATTAGTAAAATCTCTAGATTATCTTAACACCACCAAGATAACGAGCTCTAAAAGATTGCGCAGGCTCATTTGGTAAAATCACAGACGATCTTCAAATAAAATACTTCCAATAGTCACGAAAAATACACATTAGTTGTAAAGCGCATGTAGTTTAATTTTTTATTAATTAGCCAATCGTATTCGATATATATTATAAAGTCATTATACTTTCTGATGATGATTGACTAAGTCAAGTTAAAACGTTTGATCAAAATGTTTCATATGGTGCTTTTAACTTAGATTTTATTTTGAAAAATATCATACTTATATATTGTTCATTGTGCAATAGTGCACTTACTTTGGGCCATCTTGTGCAATAGTGCAACAGTGCAATATTGTTCATTGTGCAATAGTGCACTTACTTTGGGCCACATTGTGCAATAGTGCACTTACTTTGGGCCATCTTAACCAATACAATAGTTTGTACAAGTACACGCACATATGTTTGTAATCTTATGTCGTAGTTGTGCCTTTGTTCATCGTCACGGCTGATTAAGCAATAACGTTGACTTATGAGCTCGTTATTGACAATGCAATAAATGTAGACTTGACTACGTTGTTCTAGAGTACAGCTCGTTTTGATAAAACACACAAAAATATGTTTTTACTGTCGTCTGAGAAACACAAACAAAAACTGCAACAGGAAATTTAAGTTATGCAAGACGCCAGTCGATTACAAAAGACACACGACCGCGTGTGCCTGAATGGTGTTATGGATACAGTAAGTACATAATTTATCACAGGCGTTCTTGACTGTAAGGATAGGTCATACTAAACAACAAGACGACAGCCCTAAGCATTTACCCTCATATATGTTGTGCTTGGATAAGGATTGCTTTAAATTCAAGTGTTCAGGCTTAAAATTGCTCGCAAAGCGCTGATTACACAAAAACTTGTCTTCAAAGTAATTTCTTTTTGTCGAAGTAAAGATGTAAAAAATCACTCCCCCTTACTAAAAAGTGTATGCCTATCCCTATCATTTTCACTCTCTTTTTTGATTTAAGTTAACGTATAACATATAACAACGCATTGTATATTCCCACTTCAATTTAATGATATGCTTCCTCATAGCAAAAATTTTGTCACCAATGCTAAAAGAAGTATTGCAAGTGTTATGCAGCATTACGTTACGAGCCCACACGAAATTTTGACTTAAGCTAACCTCAATATCTTAAGAATGAAAAGGAATTTATTGAATACTTTTTCTGTCACTTTAAAAGTTCTTCTTAATTAAAGTATAATTTATTTCGTCCGGAAGATTGATTTATTTGGGACGTAAATTTTCCAGCTAAGCGGTTGAAACGTTCAATGTTGATCCAACCATCAACCATTTATAATACAATAGCTTCTTGAATCAATAAACAAGCGAAAATGTATGGCAAGCCAAACTGAAAATGCACGCAGTGGTCGAGATTTTCACCTGTTATGTTGGTCAGCGGTTAGCAGCTTAAAATCGGAAATTATTGGCTGTGTTGACTCCGTTGATTCTTTTCTTGCCTTGCAGTCATTTGCGTTATTACAAAACAGTTCATATTCATTATCGAAAACAATGAGAATAATGGGCGACAATGTAAGTGAATTATAGGGATTCTTGACGCTATCAGCGATTAAAAAATTGTAAGTTAATTCTCGGTGACCAAGATGATGTGAGAGCAGAACATTGCATAACACAGGTCAAAATTCAAGACTAAGCTTATTGCTAGAAAATCTAGTCGATATATTATGTAGGGAATTGGAAAAACTTCATAAAAGTGAGGTGTTCGCGATTTTCTTGTATCGAATGGACTTTTCTCCACAATAGTACGTAAATCTAGACTATTGCATGCACTTCTCGACACACGATTGCATTTCTCAATTCACTTTGATCAATTCATGCAAACTATTCTTTAAATCAAAGCATGGACGCTCTATTCAACAAACATTGATTTTACGCTAAAATTAAATCAAAACGAGCCCGATCTTCATAGGAAAATCCAGCAAAGAAAAATCATGTTTCCCTAGCCTTACAATAACGTTTCATGTTTGTAAATGTAAATCGTCCAGGTTGGTATAGTCCTGAGAAGGACTGTTTGCTGTTGTTGACTGACGTTTCGACAACCTTAGCGGTAGTCATCTTCAGAGTCAAATGACAAAAACATTCCTTCTCAGGACTATACTAACCTGGACGATCTACATCTATAAACATATAACGATACTACCGGGTTCAAACCATTTACTTTCTTACAATAGCGGATAAAGAAAAAGATTGAACATTTGGCGACCGCTGACTTAGCTAGCATAAAAGGTTGTTTAGAACAGGAGACTTTTCTAACTTTGTTCTTGAAAGTCAGTTACTCTGTCGTGGAGGAGTAATAAGGTAAAATCTTTAAACAAAACTATCTCAAGCAACTACCAAATCGCACCACATGTGCACTTTTGATGGAATCAAACTGTTTAATACAAATTGTGGAATATTGTACAACTGACGACAACAAAAAACAATGCATGAACTTGTAAATAGGGTGGAATATTTGTAGGTCCATCCAAGATCAAAGAGCCAGGTAAGTTTTTTTGTTAATGTGCTTCCTTTTCGCGTTTAATATTGTCATGTTACTAATAGCAAACAATAAATATGTAACACTACGTGTTTGCCAGAACATCCTTCACCCCAATGAGAACATCGAATTGTTACCATTCTCTACTCATCCACCGGTTGTAAAACTGTGATTTTTGTAATTGGTCGTTTGTATTTTCCATTCTGCGTCTTTACGGTAACATTCCGAACCCTATCGTCGTTGCCGGGATGTACATTAGTTATTCTTCCCATAATCCAATTACCACGTACAGCATTAGAGTCAGCTAAAATAACAATATCTCCGACCTTTACATCACGTTTGGTTTGTACTCCACTTCTTTCGTGTTATGAGGGAAGGAAAGACATCTTGGGCCCATCGTTTCCAGAATGAGTCTAGTATTCTCTGCAAGAACTCGACTCGATGCCTTGGGTTTCTCGTTTCTAGAAATGGGCCTTGCGGTACGTATGAAGGAGCTCTCCATAACAAGAGATCGTTTGAGCATAAGTATGATCCATCGTTTGCGTCATTGGGCAATCTACCGGTCTTTGATTTAACAAATTGGCTATGAAGACGGTGTATAATTCGAACGGTGTGATGTGGTGATTTCCCATCGCATATTTAAGTGCACATTTACAGCTTTTTACCATTGATTCAACACAACCGTTTTGATGAGGGGCATTTTGACGATGAACATGTTGATCCTTCAATGGAACTTGTATTTGGTGGCACATTTTTTATATGTCTCCACATATCGCAACTGGTCGTTCTCTAAATCGTAAGATTACTCCAAGCATGTTATTTAGGAGGTCAGGTCCTTTAACCCAAAACTCGTTCAGGCTCTTTCCTTTGTGCGTTGCTGACGAATTGAAGACAATACGGACAGGTGTACTCTTCTTTTCGGGACGTAAGAGCTCGTAATAGGATATATATATATTATAAATTATAGTGCACGGGCCATCATAATTTTTAATCTCACTTTCAGCAAGCTTTCGCGAAAACCCTAGATCCTCCATTTGTTTCATTTGCTCTTTATAAGCGTTAGCATGATCTTTATTCTTCTTGAGCCTCTTTTCTGTTGCTTCTAACAGATGTAGAGCTTGCTGTCGGTTGTCGGCAAGTAATTTTGGATCATTTCTCCAAGGGTACGTCATTAACCACCTGTTGTTTATCAATTTACATCCATCCTCGATTAATTTAGATTCATCTTGTTCTATTTTGCTTAGGCGGGGCGTTTCAAGCTTCATGTTTACTCCCAAGCTTTCAGTAATCCAAAAATCTGTAAGATCAACGGGTGTTGTAAACTGTACATGAAACACCTGATTGGTTTGTTGTGTACCGGGTATTGCTCTAAACAAAACCCATCCAAGAGGCGAATGACGTGCAGCGATACCTTCAGTCAAATATCAAACGCGTTTGAGATTTGACTCATCTTTCACGAATGACAAATGTTGTTCAAAACTTCCGCGCGCACTAGGAAGTTTTTTCGATCACACTTGTCACGAATAAAAAGTACGCGCTGCAAGTTCACAAGTGTGCGGCGGGCTTAAGAGAGTAAGTCGTTGACAAGTACCACAATCAACCTTCGGTTGACAATTCAAGTTTTTTCTTCAAGGCAGAACGTTAGCTATAAAATACAAACACCTTCAAGGCAATCAAAACTTTACAAATTTCAACCAAAATCACGAAATGAGGACGATTCTGTTTAATTTTGTTCGCTGATTTTTCACTGTCATTGAGAAATATGGCGAGTCGGCCGACAACATATTGAGGACTACTCGACACACTTCCAACAAGAACAAGACAACAGGCACAAAATAAGGATTGTAACAGAAGCGCCACTCAGAGAAAAATTTGTCCCCCACTTGCACCCTGTTCTCAAATGCGCATCCGTTGCGTCCGCCATTACTCCAGCCAGATAAACTGGCCAGAATGCATATATGTTAATATTATGGAGAGTTGTTTTCGAAAATTTGACGAATGTAGATTCACTTATGGACAAAATTTTTGATGCCATCGGACAGGATACCAAGGATATGAGGTGAGAAAAAGTTTTGTTGTAAAATACTTTCGTCAACTATAATTTTACGGGTTTTATAGTTTCTTGCCTTGAATTGTATGCGAGATCCATGTTTAGAACGTCTCTTACATTGAACGGCAATTGCCCTAAGAATTTATAATTTAGGACAAAGGTAATAAATATATTTAGTGTGATTCCATTTCTGTATTTTCTAGTAAAGAGTTTCCTATTTGAATGGTCAATGGATTTGTTAGAAGCGATAAAACGACATACTGTGCGTAAAGAACGTTCTTCAGATGAAGACGTTATTAGTATAGAATTTGGAATAAACTACTTTATTTTTGATGCTTGAATTGGGACTTTTCATTTGCAATGTAGTTTGTCTGCATAATTGTAATTGAAAGTTCTTATTTGTAATTGTAAATCGAGTTCCTATAGCTATCATGTCGTCATGTTTGTATTAACTTACAAATAAAGATTTTTTTAATAACAATATATGAAATTGCAATTATTTAAAGGATGAAGTTATTGATAAATTGTTTCAATTAAATTAACAACTTTGTCATTATGTCAAACATATTGTCAAACTCCTACAGCTTAGCTCTTTGGTTAAACTTCACTTGTGAGTTGTGACCAACAATTGTATGTGAAAAATGATTAGAATTATGTTTGATTCACCGCATTGATCAACCAGCAGAGAAAAATTATTGCAACAAAGGGCTCGAAAATTTAATTTTTGCTAAAATCCATAAACTTCATTCAGTAAATTAAAATTTTTATTGTAAGTAATCATGTCACAAACAGAACTTATTCTGACAAAAACCAGTTATAGTTACTCTTAATGCAATCGTAATACTTTACACAGTAAAATGTTTACCAAAAGGTGAAACACAGATACACCAGAAAACTTTTTTAAAACATTTGACAGGGGGAAACTGTGCCAAGCCAACACCAATCCAATTCACAAAGCATTCAGGAAGCTTTTTTATGTTCACTTCTCACATCATCAATAAGCATCCATGTCAAATATATAAATAATCTCCTGATTGAATTTAAAAAGGCAGAAATAACAAAGTTAAGTCATGTGGACCATATGACAGTATATGTTTTACAAATTGCTATTCAAGCACTTTATTGGTGGAGGCCAACATGCTGCTGCTTATGTTCCAACTTGCTCAAAAAGTCATTCAAGCTTCACAAGTCACAACTGTGATGAATACAAAATATTTTGGCATCAGATGACTTTCATAGTGGCCATGCAGCATCGCTTCTGATAGTTTAAAACACCTGGGTAGACAATTTTGGTGATTCGAATGTCCTGCCAAACGTTGTTTGAAATATATAAACTAACTGGAGGATAATTTGATTTGTCACTTGTTTCAGCCACGACCGAGATTTCAAATGTTAGAACAAATGTCTTCAAGATTCTCTGCAGAATTCTTATATGATAAAATTAAAACTGACGACAAACCATATACCGAGTACGCATCTCGTCAGATGCATATCTACTTTGTAAATATTCCGAATAAACCCTCATTTATCAAAACGGACGTCGAATTAATGATAAATTGTTGAGAGCTTGATGTGTTAACTGTATCAACACAAAAAATATTAAAAAAATGGCCAATCTATAGAAATATTTGGGTTTATTTGCCAAAACCCATCCGTAGAACTATATATTATATTGCGATCTGGCTGCATTTATCTGGCTGGAAACATGGCCGCCGTGTAAAGTTGCCCGGATGCTGGGGACACGAACATCAAAGGTTCCGACATCGAGTGGCGCTTCTGTATATATCTATTCTGTGCTTCTGACTGTCACGACAACCAAATAAAAGTTGCTGAAACAGAGCCCGCTTTGTTTGCAATCACGTGATTTATTGCTTCAAAATGTTTTTACGGCTTTCAAGTGAAGGGCCAAAGAACTAAGATGGCGGCCAATGCTACTATAACTAAGCCAACAGCAACAATGAAAAATTTAGTACCCGAGTACTTTTTATCTCTTCAACCAAAGGCAAAGTCAAGATACCAAGAGAAGCTTTCCTTTTGTGATGGACTGGATCCATATTCTCTAAAAAAGAGTGACTTTTTAACCGATCATAACAATTTCCCTAACTTGCAGTTTCCTGACATTTCAAATTATTTAGTCGTTTAAACTTCATTTTATACGAAGAAACAAAAGAAAGCATGTAAAAGTCTTGAAGCTTACAACTTTTTTGTTTGTGGTTGGGTCCATGAAGTAAAATCAAGAGGTGTAATGGACAACAACAATTGCCTTGTTTTTGCGAGAGTAAGTACATTTTTGTTCCATTACAATTTGCAAGTAAACGATTGCTTGTTGTAGATTTGAGTTAGTTCCTATTACTTTAATATATCTAGCATTTGTTTTAAGACAAATTTAGGACTCCTATTCTTTTTTACTAAGATCAACCACTTACAAAGATCAACAGCAACTCCTTTAAAAGCTTGTAGTCCGTGATCTGTGCCTCAAAAATATGCTTTAAAAATGAGTTTCGTTGGACACCTCAAGGAAGGGCGCAAAATTCTCAAAATATATAGAAAGTCACTTGCTGTTTGATATTCTTTTTATTGTCACTTCTAAAAAGTTGCAGTTTTTTAGTATTTCGCGGTTGAATTTCAAAATTCCTCGCTCCTTCAATTTTGAATGTCGCCATTTTTTGGTGCGGAACTCTTTGTATCTAACTGCCGTTGTCATGGTGAGGCAAATTTATTTACGGGCGCTATCTTGAAAGGTGGCATTCTGTATTAGTATATTTTGGAGACATAAAATCCGTCAAGAAAGAAGCTGACTCTACCACTAAAGTTTTGCTTGGTGCAATGGCATACTTTATTTATTTGCCAGTAAAATTACGCGTTTTGGACCGTGGTCGATTACGGGAAAATAATGGACAGGCAAAAATGTTTCTGAGCCAATCAAAGCGCGCCATTTAGCCGGAAGTGACGCTTGCCATATCATAATACTAAGTTATTTACACTAAGAAACACATATTTTTTAGTTTTAACGTTTTTCATTTCTTCCTTCGCCTGGCTACCACTGCCATAATTATGGTTGTTTGGTTGCTAGTTGCTATTAGTTGGTTGCTGTTGCTACCTTTCTTTGTGGCCTGCAGGCACCAATGGCAGTTGTACTTACACCATTGATCTGCACACGGTCTGTGGTCTGGGGGTCTTGGTCTGTTGCCTGTTGCAGTCAGTGCGTAACATTGAACTAAAATACATGGAACGCTACCTGTAATACAAAACCCAAATAATTTTTTGAAGCCGAGATTTTACCCTAGACACGCGTGTGTAGTCAATCAATTATTACTCCGCGAGAGAATCTCGAAACACTAAACACGCGTGTCCGGGGTAAAATCTCGCGTTTTGGCGTAAGATATGAGGTAGCGTTCCACGTATTTTAGTCATTGAGTTCTATAGTAACTGGAGCGGCTATCTCAAGCGCGGCCTTAGATATCTGATGATGCCAAAAAAATGGCGGATTTCATCCGTTGCCGCTGAGATTTACCGAAATTGACCGCTTTTCCGAAAATTTCACAATTTCCCACTCCCTCCTGAGGAAAGAGTGAGGAAAATGTATATGTGTATTTGGGATTCGGCAAGCAATTTTTTGATGAAAATCAAGGTAAAAACCTTAAATTCATAACAGCGAGTCAACTGTGGTTGTCAGTTATCTGCTCCTACGAGGATGCATTTATAACTATCGACGAAAGACCTATATGTCGGCTACACATGTATGAATGCAGATGTGCGTCGTTTTCTTACCAGCGTCAAATTTGTTTGATCGATTAATCTCTTTAGTCTATACAAAAAAGTATATCATAGTTCATCTCCACGGTTCACGAGAGAGAAGTCAGCTTATTTGTTATCATTGCTATTTTGTTTCTTTTCATGCAATGGGCAATGGCTTTTAATATTAAATCTCTGGATATTTACGGACTTTCTGTAATTGAGTTTCATATGAAATTTCAAAAAGACTCAAGTCTGCATAGGTTTGGTAAATAAAAACAAACAATATTGTGTAGAAATTACTTTAAGTAACCTTTTTGTGATGTTCTGAAGTGCAACTGCATCAAATACTTGTGAAGTTGTAGCACATTTTGATTTTGTTGTATTGATATATGAATTGGGCAAAATGCAAATAATCATCAAAACACTTATGCTTCCAATGGTGTATATAATTCATTTGTAGTTTTAATACTTCTACCTTTCTTTTTCACTTTGTTTTGTTTTTCCTATATTTGCAATAAAAGTGCACTATAATTTGAATGATTAACACAGTTTTCACCTCAATAATAAATTTCATAAGCAGTTGGTAGTGCATTTTGTTCTCTGAGTATCCACATCTGGTGTTTTGTTCATACAAGAATGATGAAGTGCAAGTAGATATGTCATAGCAAGGCAATAAAACCAAATGAATTACATTCCTATAGTGTACATTTATGCTAGAAGCTTAAAAGCTTTTTAGAAATTTGAAAGTTATTGGATTATATTACCTCTATATCATCAATCTCATGATAAGAAATAAGAAGCAAAAAATTTCTAGAAAAGCTTTGAAAAGTGAAAAACTTTTTTTTAAAAAAGCAGCAATAATGCATATGATAAATCTCCATTCTGTACTCTAATAGGTAAATAAGCTCAAATTTTTCTTGAAGAAATATAAGAAATATATAAGAAATATACAGTACAGTAACTTTAAAGGTTTCATCACTGAATCTTTAATGCTTCAGTATAGTGCATTAGATATTACTAACATTCAAACAACACTCAACTAAAATATTTTGATAAAGATATGACATGATTTAAACATTAAGTTACATAAAACCCAATGGCTTATACAGTTTGAAGCTTCACATCTGCATCGAGTCATCATCAATCTCAGTACAAATGTTTACATAGACACAAACTTTATGGCCTTCCCATTTTACATGTTTGTGAATTGACATTTCATTAAGCATCAAAACACACACAACCTTCTTGCCATCTTTCTTTGGATCATGAACTTTAACTTCAAAGCATTCAAGGCATCCTTAGTGAATCCATTGTCTCCATCCATAGAATTTGACCACAATCAAATTAAATAACTCTGGATAGGGCAGACAATAAATCAATTATCTTTACAGCATTATCATTTTTTAAGACTCTGCCTGGTCAATAACATCTTCCAGTCATCTTTACTCCTTGATCTTCCCTGCATGTTGTCAGCAAATAGAACATAACAAGCTCTGCTCCAAATCATGGGTACCGTTGGGGCTGATCATTTCTTTTTGATACCAGATCACATTTTTGATACAGAGCAAAATGTGTGCAGTGTCTTTTTTGCTTTAGGGAAACTATTTTGCAAATAGATGGGTAAATTTACGATTTCATGCATTAACAAATGACAGAAAAGTATACAGAATTTTATAAGAATTTTACAAGTATACAGAGTTTTATAAACAGGAAAACATCAGTATATTTGGCGTTCAAGTCAGTCTTAAAAAATACGATCTTTAATATGTATTTTATGGCTTTTCAAGTGCATGTATAATTGCTTTTCAATCGTTGACGGACTAACAAAACAAACAACTACCTCACCTGTGAGAAGCCATATGTTCCTTTTTGTGGAAACTACGACATCCAACAATTGAACGATTGAAGTGTTGGCATTATAAAAGAAATGCCAAAAAAGAATCGTCACAGAACTAACGATATCCATATTCTGTGATATCGTGTTTGTTTTTGAAAAATTCTTTATAATTTACTATAGACACCAGGGGGAGGTCGAGAATATTATTTTTCTGCAAAGCGATCATTTCAGCGGAAATACGTCCGTTGGCCGCCATTTTTTCGGCATCCTCGCCCCAGCAAAGTTAGCCCCTCCAGTTATTATAGAACTCAATGATTTTAGTTCAATGGTGCGTAATGTTTATCAATTGCGTAATGTAATGGCAGCCAATCGTCGCTATAAACTGAGTTATTTTCCTCTTCGAGCAAGAGCTGAACCGATCCGAATTATTTTGTCTTTGGCAGGAGTTGATTGGGAAGATAATCGGAATCTTAATGATGAGGATTTAGTTGCTTTAAATGAAGGTTTGTGACTGACAGACTTTTAATGTTATGCATTGTTATTTTTAAAGAACTTTCCACTTTCAGTAAATACAGTAATCTGTTTTGAGCTGTCGATGTGTAAGTTGTAGTTGGATGTAATTTAGATGCAGTATTGTGCTTTGGAACCTCAACTTTTTGCTATTTATGTCTCCAACATAATTTATGTGGTTTAATTTAGATGGCATACCTCCTTTTGGTCAGTTACCAATTCTTGAGTTCGACGATGTGATCTTAGCTCAAAGTATGGCTATTCTTCGCTTCTTGTCAAGAGAGCATGGTAAACATTTATGAAATATTTACATGTTGCGCAGTTGCAGTTTTTTTGCTGGGTTTGATGCATCAATCAATGCCAGTGTTTTCTATTTTGGAAAAACTGTTTTTATATCAGCAATGGCTATGGAAGAATGAAAAGATTACATGAAATGTTTTTTAGTTATCATTGTGTAGGATTGAATGAATAAATGTGAGGAGTTTCATGGTTTATATTGTTACGTTTCCCTCCCAATTTGCTATATGGCATTTAACCTGAGCCTATACTTCAAATGATGTTCCACAAGGATATAATATAAACTTATAGTAAATGAAAAAAAAATATTTTAGTGATTTTACACTGTACTTTGATCATAAGGTTTCATGCCAGAAACTAGTCTGGAAATTGCATTGGCTGATGGCATTGTTGATCAAATACAAGATTGTGTCTTAAAAGTTATTAAAATGTGGTTTACTAAAAGTCCTGAAAAGGTGAGGAAAGTTATTGTGTTTACTCTATGGCTATAAAGGATCTTACATTCTAACATTTCATTTTTAGGAAAAAGTAAAGCAAGACCTGAATGATAACTATTTCCCCAAAAATATGTCATATTTTGAAAAGATGTTTCAAAAAAATTGCAAAGAGCATACATATTTCTTTGGAGAGAAGGTATTTACTGAAGCAAACATGTGATAGCCATGTGATAATCACGTGATAACTCTGTCATTTATTGTGTGGGTGACATATGCTGACATTAACTTTTTTGTTTTGTTAATGGTTTTATTCTTTCTGGTCAACTGGAAGTTCCACCAATACTTGCCAATTATCCAGGTCTAACAAAGACTTACACTGCAATGTTGAATGAACCAAAACTTCAAAATTACCTCAAGAATAGGCCCAAGACTGATGGACGTTGATTGATGTCACATGTTGTAGATGTAGATCGTTCAGGTTAGTAGAGTCCTGAGAAGGACTGCTTTTGTTGTTGTTGACTGACGTTTCGACAACCTTAGCAGTAGTAATCTTCAGAGTCAAAATGACTCTTTTGAGGACTCTACTAACTTGGACGATCTACATCTACAAATATGTAGCGATACTCCCAGGCTCAAACCATTTACTTTGTTGATTGATGTTTTGCATTGAAATTTTTGACACAATAATCTAACATATCTAACATAAAAGGATCTACATAAGACATATGATATTTAAGTTGAAAAGCACTTTGGCATTTTTCCTATTTTATTAAATATCTAATAGACAATAGATAATAAATAAATGTTTATATATAGTAGTTTCAACAGCATTTTTAAAAGCATGCAATTTGATTAAATTTTGCAAGTTACATCTTCAGCCTACCCTACCAGTGAAATCAAATAGTGACAGTTCTTTGCTGGCTTCAAGCCCATTATTAAGTCCTGGTTGGTGTGATTTAATCATTAGTGCTTCCATTAGTACGAGTTCGGTAATGTATGAATTACGTTTTTCCAAGAGTATTTTATGATCAAGTGTGTTCTTGTTTTGATATGTAATGTCCTGTGCTTTTTGGCATTGTAAAAAAAGCTGTGCATTAGCGCTGCTGAAAATATGTGTTCAAATTCTATGGTTAATTTTTGCTCTTTGGAAAATTTCTGTCGTCTATGTAAGACACCTTAACAAGACTGGAGATTCAACTTGGGCAATCGATTATACAACCTAAGTTCTCCACACTGGGTACATGTATATCATTTAACTATTTATTGCCGATGCTTAAAAAGTATATTGTGTCTAGTACCATATACGTATAAAACTTGGATTGTGTTTTCAGGATTACTCTGATTGTGTCTAATTGATTGACAAGATGACGTTCCACTTTCCATCTAATTGATGTTTTCAAATTCTATGGTTAATTTTTTAATTTTTTGGGTGTTATTTAGATTCCTGCTGCCCTTCAAGTACCTGTCTCATTGCCTTCCATATTTATCATGAATAACAGTGCCAATCTTGTTGTGATAAAATTATATATCAATGCTGCAATTATGTATGAGAATATGTATAAACACATGGTTAACTTTAAGCAATTCTGTGATGAAATATTTTTTCAAGTATTTTATGGAATAAGCTTGTATTGTTCAAAATAAACACTAAGACTTTATTCGGCTAAAGCATAGGCAATTGTGCTTTGTTTTTGATATTTCATCCTTATACAATCATAAAAATTATATAAACACACATATGCTGATTCTGTTAGTTACCATTGGTGTTTACCCAACCCAATGTGGCACTCAAATACAATAGCTCTCAGCATTCCATAAGTAGAATTTATATTTAAACGTTGATGTATTAACTGAGTCAAGGTTTGTAAATAGCCTAGCGTTGGAATGCTGACTGTCTTTGGGCAAATAGTAATATGACATTTTTATGATTGTTTCGTTAATACTCAAAATTTACCGATAGCGTTCGACCTGTACTGTCGGGAATTGCGGCATTTTCCTCAGGTTCTGCTTAGTGCTAGTTGTCAAAACCAAAATAATCCATGTTTTGCACACAGTCGAAAGAAATCGAGCCGCAAACATCACAATTCAACATTACATCAACATGGCTGTCATCCGTGTCAGACAGTCTGTTGATAAATTTCCTAAAAAAATTGCGTATTCCTGAAATTTTTTGCTCATAGTTGTTCAGGTAATTGTCTTTTTAATAATTTTGTAAAATTTCGTGGATTGTAACCCATTTTTGGCTCGGAATTTGATAAAAAAGATCGTCGGTCTTGCAATTTGTATATAAAGCCATATTACACAAGAGAGACGTGTACATCTTATGACGTCACGGTCCATTTGTAAAAATTCGCATCCGGTGCCAATCTTTAGCGTAGGATTTGGATAGGTTTTAGCTAACAGAAAATGCTCAAATAAACACCAAAAAGTTTCTTTTAATGTGTACTTTGTATTTCGCGAAAAAAAGATGGGATCATATTTCGCGGGAGTTGCACTTTAAACAGAAACCGACTTTTACCAACGGAAGCACTCTTTATATAATTACACTTACCAGAACTTAATAATGGCTTAAAGCCAGCAAAGAACTGTCACTATTTGATTTCACGGCCTCACATTCACCTAATCCCTCCGATCCAACTCACATTCCCGCACTTCCGTTGAAATGATGTTATGCACATGTAAGTAGAGCGTCTGTTGGCTTGAAAATATAGTCTTTTGATGAATTTAAATTGTAACAAATTCGAAGTATTGGTTTACAAATAAAATTTCGGGTTTCTTTCTCAAATATTGAGTTAAACATGAGTGTTTTATTCGCAGTATGCTTCATATTATAGTACCATAACGTATATATAGGTATCAGGATAGAAACATGGCTTCCAGTCAAAGCTAAGTAATATGCATGACAGGAGCATAAAGGTTCCGACAAGAAGTGCGGGTTCTGCTAAGTTTCCTTCTCTTCATAATTGTGGCAAAAGGGCGGCCACATTACCATTTCATAAACTGTCAGCTTAGCCCAAATGCGAGAATCTATATGATAGCTGTCCTTTCTAACTGGAAAAACAATTTTTGTCTATAAGAAATACGTGTAAATGAAGTACTACACATATTCGCCTTCAAATGCTTGCTTATAAACTAGCATCGCTTGTTCTGAAACTAAATTCAATCCATTCACTGATGGCGATAGTTTACAAAGTACATAGTCAACCTGTCGTGCTAAAGAAAACAACATATTGAAGCATTCATGGAACCTGTGATGTGAGAGTTGGACATAATTCAAGCACACAATGTATGCAATTATAACAATTGTCAGAGTCTAAATCGATATTTGTAGAGCAAATATCTGGTTTTGAGTGCAAGCAATAAACAACACAAAAAATATTCGTCCATAAATACAACACGTACACTTTATGCCGAATCAAATCGAATTATTTATGTTAAGACATTTTAAAGAATTTACTTACTGATTTATTGATATTGTTTTTTGTTCATAAACAATGCAAGCGACAGCTCATGCTGCTTCGTGGTTTAAACTGCTAGACGTTGCACAAGACTCATAATAGAGCGAGTAATTATTCTTCACAACGAGAAACTACGATGAATGCAATTACACCTACTAAGCGGTTATGTGTGGGTTTACAAATACAAGAATGATCTATTTTGTCTAATTGTCAGTTTCTGCCGAAAGGAAATGCGTTGTTCGCAAACAGTGAACATTAAGTGTCGAAACCATTATATCGTTTCTTCATTGTTTAGGTCCGTTTCAGTCATGAACCATTCATTCAATTTCGAAATACGCAAATTCCTCTGTTGCATACAACGTTCTCGAGATCTAGTCGAAACCACAAAAAATCGCTAGAAATAATAATCAACAGGGAAGTAGAATGAGACCATTGATCCCCTTTAATTACATGTGACTCACAAGTATGCATGAAACATTGTTCGATAATTAATAAGATGTCTTATAAAATCACAATCAACGTGAGAAGCTATCGGCGCGTTGATAACCATACCATTAACCAATTCAAAGTTCGATGTTAAGTATTGTAACGATTTTTTATTGAAAGATAGCCGATTTCAATAAGTTAATTTGTCGTAAAGCCGCAATATTGGATATTGTTGTTTTCACTTCAGTGCATGGAGAAAGAGTTCTTGTTCTTCTAAATGTCGGTTTGTTATCGAAGCTACAATTGACGAGATAACGAGTTGTTCATTGGAGCTTCTATACAACATGTAAAAAATATGTTAGTGATGAAACAGTCGGAGAGCTAGGAAGGATTTCGAAAAGAAACTCAGTAGCAATTCCAATATCAACAGACTCAATTATGAGATAAAATTTCAAAATTTTTCTAAATCATGTATATATATGTGGTTGAAGAAAGAAATCTCTCTGCAAGATCTATTCCCATGCATTAACAGTGAGAACCAGCAAGCGAGAAGTTGATTGCTGTATAATCCTTGATCAATTACCATTCTAGTTCTTTCATCTACTTCCATTCTGCTAACACAATAATAACCGTCTCATACAGTGAAGTTTTCTCTTCTTAAAATCATGCATTTTGTGGTATTTTGTAAAACGGCGCCATACAAGAACACATGGACATTAAGCAAGATATATTGTAGAAAACGAAAGCTACCAAATAGGCACAGACAACTCAGCCACCTCCAAAGTTCGATATAAGATTTACACAAAGAAATATTTTAAGGTGTTAATGGCATGTAAGAACGGCAGGGATCGAAGAAAATGAGTGACATAGTAAGATAAAAAGACTGAAAAAGTTACAAGTGCAAGAAAAACATGAATACTATTGCATAATAAATAACTTTAGTGAGAACGTTGGTTCTTTACAGTTAAAGCAGGAGGGTAGCAAAGAATATTTTTTTTTGAGAGCCTAAGCGTCAAATTTCCCGTCAAATTGGGCGTGGCATGGACAAGGTGCGAGCGTAGTTCCAGAAAATCCATCAATTGCTGATATAGGTACAATTTTTACCGAGAGAAAGATGATCGAGGTGCCTCGCCACCTTCACATACCGATTGCAACGTCCTTTAGTTAAGGGTTCACGAATCAACAACTAGAGCGCCATGTAATATTTACATAGACCTACCAACATTGATTACGCGGTAAAACTTGCACATCGTATAAATGATATAGTTAATTGAACAGAAACGAATTTCATGAAAAACAGTTGAAAGCTAGCAGCAAAAGAATTTTTTAAGTAGACGAAAACGATTTATAAATATTGGATGAGTCAACTTTAAAACACGCCAATATAACGGCTACAGTGACATTCAGCGACATGGAACAATATGTTGCAAATCATTCATGATGTGTTAAATTTATGAAACTGTCCTCGTTGCTAATTTCATAAAGCTTGATTTTATACACGTAAAGAACGTCTCTGATCGTGAAAAGTCAAGAAAGATGACAAAACCCCAACACATTAAACACCACAAACTTCTCTGTATGATATTAAAGCATGATCGCATTAATTCAATTTACTCTGCATGACATTGTATTGTTCAATGTCTCAAATCATGCTGATTAAAGATAAAGAAAGCATGGGCCTTATTTGAAGCAGAAGCATTTTAAACCCTAAACTTGAACTGGTTAGGTGAACCCAAACTTTGCAGCTGATTTTCTCAATTTACCATTTTTAGACTTTGGCCGAATTGGTTTTTATGATTTCTGAAGAACTATTAGATCAATTGACCTACTAGAAGTTACTATTGCAAGGGGAAGTGCCGCCCCACCCCATCCCCCACTTTTCAGAAAAAATTGCACAGTACAGTCTCACCCCTTAGAACCACCTCTTTGTGTTCAGCAATTTAGGCGGTTTCATACGTATGGTAACGATGGGATGATTAGAATGATCGGTAAAGAAATTCTACATGTGGGTTCCACTAACTTTTAACATTTCGTTGGCTAGGTTTATTTCGTTATGTTTAGAGTTTCTTTCTGTCTGAAGGCCTGTTTACACGATCCGATTTGTCGGATCTGATTGTTTCGGTAGTTTCTTGTCGAGACGGTCCGATATTTTTTCATATTCGTTCAGATGTTTATAGTCGTTAGAACAGCCATTTCTGTTATCCAGTACGTTTATCGATATGTTTTTCGTATTTTTGTTCTTGTTTCCAAGTCACTCAAATCTATGAAATTTGGCTAATAGGCTTCCTTTGATCTTGTCGGATGAAAATAAAGTAACTTCTATTTTCATCCGATATTTTAGATTGACGGATCCGACTGTCGGAGGCTAACTTTATATGTGTTCACACGATCCGTATTAAGGATCCGACAAATTGGATCGTGTGAACGGGCCTTAACAACGTGCCATCGCAAGCACTGTTGACCTTGTATTGTCTGACATTAACACCGGATTATGTTACTGTTTATTTAATATGGAATTCGAGCTTTGTCCACATGAACTGTTCGACATGCTTCCAAAAAAAAATGAGCAGGAATATTCTGTTGATTAATCTATGATAAACCTTTCAGCTTTTAACTCTGCAAAACCGGTCACAAGCCCGGGACGTGTTGCGTATAAGGCTCTGCTTTTGAGTAGACTTATCTCGTTAACAAGGAAGAGGAGTGGAAGGTTAATTTCTCAAATGTTGTTAGATAAGGTTGTTATTGTTTGTAGTTGTTGGTTATAGCATTATGCTATCATTCTTTTTGTTAAATAACATTCTAACTATTTAACCTTATAATTACATGGAGTAACTGCAAACAAAGGCAGGCGTTCTGAAAGTTGACGGTTGACTTCCGGCAAAAATTATCTCCCGTGCTTTACATCTTATTTTATTTTACATTTCAAATATTTTTAAAGATAGATTTTTCAAATGAAAACAATTTTCAGATAAGATGCTTACATCTCCAGACATATGTCTTTAGGATTCTTCATGAAGAATATATTACTTAGTTCACGCAACCGATCAATCAAACGCTTGTTTACATACGTAGAAACAGACAATATTCTACAACTGTAGTTTTGTTTCCACTGTTTCCTTTATAACATTTTGATAGGATCTTATTGCCTATGATTCTGTGCGACTACGATTAAATGATGTTTAATCTTTGAACGCGGAGTCAACGTAAAGAGCAAACGTTTTATCGTATTCTTAGTTAAACTTGCACCATGCGTTTTAATAAATTCTTTGTGATTATTGACGTTTTGTTAAATCCACACCGATTTTTAAGTAATCATAAAAGCTCGACAGAAAATAAATACATGCTTACATAACATTTCCCTCACGGAGCACTGTGACGTACGGTGGCCGGTGCGGGTCACCCGAAAAATAATTTAAAAAAAAACAAAAACTAAGAAAACATCACTCAAAATCATACTACACATTTCAAAATACTCACTACACATTTCAAAACACTCACTACACATTTCAAAATACTCACTACACATTTCAAAATACTAACTACACATTTCAAAATACTCACTACACATTTCAAAATACTCACTACACATTTCAAAATACTCACTACATACTTCAAAATACTCACAACACATTTCAAAATACTCACTACACATTTCAAAATACTCACTACACATTTCAAAACATTCACTACACATTTCAAAATACTCACCACACATTTCAAAATACTCACTACACATTCGTTCCAGTCTTACCCTGGTCTGGCCTGCTCACGGTCGTCATTAGTTTCCATCTACGAAACTGACGTGACATCATAAAGTAAGCATATTAAATATATAATTCCGCATTTAACAATACAAACAAATTGGGACATCGGGATAATAGCATGAAAATATTGGCTGAACTCTAATCAGAAATTCTTCCAGGGTTTTGCTGGTCTTGCTAGGGCAACAAATCAGTAGACGATCTACATATCGCCAGCAAATGTATTTGCAGTGGCTTTCGACACATGTCCGTACTTTAATAGCAAAAATTTAAGTATACGAATTTGCATTCGCTAGGTCACGTACGTACTTGTGTGATGCATTACAAAAATAACAAGGAAACCAAAGAAAAAATTTGCACATAGCGCTATAATTTGTTGCACAAGAAACGTCAAAGAAAATGAAAAGTTCCGTAATTTCTTGTAAAAACAATAAATTTAGACCTTCAGTACCAGTCACGTCAATTAATGCATTAGTTAAGCAAATGCCTGTAGAATATAACCAATACAAATACAATTACATGCAATCTGTAGATTGACCACTCATGTTGTGTTGTCTAACCAAGACCAAGAAATCCCTGGAAGAAATACTACTAATAGTTCATGTACGCGTATCGCATATTTTGATGCTACTGTGGCGATATGTTTGTCTATGTGCCGAACTCCACATAGACAAACATATCGCCACAATAGCAGCAAGCGAAAATGGAGCTCGTTTCGCACAGACTTTAATTAATGCAGGACAAGGGAAGCGATACCGACAAACCCAGCCACAGTCCTGTTCAGCCAATAAAAGCTGACTATCCGTTTCTACAGCTAACACCGCCCACACCCCAAACCCCCTCTCACTTAACAGCCGGTCGGTTAGCAGAACACTTAGACAACTGGATCCCTGGATTTTACAAACAGTAAAAGGGTACAAAATACCCTTCCAAACTACTCCATACCAGTGGCGAGCACGAAAGACCCTAGTACAGTCCCTAAGGCAGAAACAACTCATGAAGATAGCGTTGGACGATCTTATAAAGAAAAGTGCGATCTCACAAGTTCAACCCCAACCTGACCAGTTTTTTTCAACACTCTTCCTCGTGGAGGAGGTTAGAAGCGGGAATTTTCGACCTGTAATCAACCTAAGAGCTCTAAACCGATTTGTCTGGACAGAATCCTTCCGGATGGAGGGTCTCAAGTGGTAAAAACTTAATACTGCCAGGAGACTTTATGATGAAGTTGGACTTGACAGAAGCTTGCCCTGCAACTTTCTTCCGCACCTATGCACCAACACCAAAACATATCTTGTTGCCAATGGACAAGTCCACAACTGTTGCATACCTCAACAAGCGAGAGGGGACAAAGCACATTCTAGGGACTTCCAACAGCATTGCAGATTAGGCATCTCGGTAATTCAACAACTACTACGAGTGGACTCTGAATTACAAGATTTTCCAGCAGATAGTGCACCGATTTGTTAGCGAATCGTCCCAGGTTGGACCTCTTTGCCATACGGGCCAAACACCGCCATCCACTGTATGTATCGAGATCCAGAGGCAATTGAAACCAACCCATTTCTTTGCGATTCGAGCAGCTGGAGGAGTTGGATTTATGCACCAGTAGTCCTTCTGCAGAGGATCATCCAAAAACTCCACACAGACAAAGCCACAGCTCTGCTGCTTCCCCTTTGGAAAGGTCAATCATGGTTTCCAGCTCTGCTAAAAATACTGGTGGATTACCCACGCCAGTTACCACAAGTTTCAGCTCTGATTTCTCTGCCGTTCGAACCAGAGAGGCGACACCCAATGCATCGCTAACTCCGGTTAACTACATGGCCCGTGTCCGGGAATGCTACAGACATTTTACTGTCGTCCTGGAGTGAATCCACACAGAAACGCTACTCCGGCCAATGGAACGCTTCGTCACGTTGGTGATTTACACGGTCACTATGTCCCTTTACTGCCTCTGTAAACAATGTACTGTCGTTCTTGGCCGAGAAGGCAAAATACGACCACCTGTCCAACAGGATAATAGGGGTACACAAGTCAGTAATTTCGCAAACACATCATCCAGTGGAATCAGTACCGTTAGGGGAGCTTCCGTTGGTTTCGAAGTTCATGACAGGAATTTACCGAATAAATCCCCCTCAACCGAAACATAGTTCCACGTGGAAGGTTCAGATTTCCTTGGATTACTTAAAGGGACAGAAACCTGTGGAAGAACTTTCCCTGCGGGAACTATCGCTAAACATCGTTTTCCTGCTAGCGCTAACTTCGGCTGCACGAGCTCAGGAATTGGCTGCTCTTGATTTGAATCACCTGGCCGAGAAGGATGACTCCTGGGAATTTGCATTGGCCAATCACATGAAGCAATCTCGTCCAGGCCATCCGGATAGGAAGATATTTTTACCAGCCTACCCCGGCAACACAAAGTCTGCATCGTAAATACCTTAAGAGCCTACAGAGCCCGGACAGCAACTATAAGACGGTCCTCAAAGCTCTTATTGGAAATAGTTGCCTCGCACACTCCAATATCCAGTCAAACGGTGTCAAGATTGTTACGCAACGTGAAAAAGCTAGCTGGGATAGACCCAGAATTCACTGGACATTCAACTCGCGGAGCTTCGACATCAGAGGCTGCTGAAGCAGGAATTCCTTGGGAAATGATATTGGAAGCTGCTGACTGGTGATTTGTAAAAACTTTTCGCAATCATTACCTGAGACCTACAAATTTTGGCAAAGGAACATTTGCGAACTCGGTAATTTCTAAATAGTAATAGTTACACATGTCGCATACTTTTAATGTTTACGGTTATTAAATGGTTATAGATGTCAGCATTCTTTTCAATCTGCAAGAGTATTGTGAGTATCAGTCGGAGTAGGAGTGAAGGAGAAATATAGTTTTCCCGGAGGGTCTTGCCTGAAGGGGAGACGTAATTCTCCGAACTTCTTCGTAGACTGATATGAGCAATATTGTTCCCCAACCGAGGGAGATCCTTCCCTCCCCGCCCTGGGTGCCATTTGTGTGAGTTCTATAGCATGGTGGCCACTCGTTCAACAGGAAGCAATAGACATGCGCAGCATATGTATCATTCGTGGTACCAGACCTCTCTCCACGCGAGATCTGCAAAAGTATTGCTCATATCAGTCTACGATGAAGCTCGGAGAACTACGTCTCCCCTTCAGGTAAAACCTTCCGGGGAAACAATATTTCTCCTTCACTCCTTCTTCATCTCCTTAACTTCTTCTTCACTCCTTCTTCATCTACTACGACGTTGAAAGTTTATTCACCAACATACCGCTTACTGAAACCATCAACCTAGCAATTGACGCAATTTTCACACACAACCCAAGTATCACTATAAACAGGATGGATCTCACGCAACTGTTTTTGATAGCGACAGCACAGACGCATTTTCTATTTCATGGAAAATTTTATGACCAGACGGACGGTGTTGCGATGGGCTCTCCCTTAGTACCCATACTTGCTAACATTTTCATGGGCACACATGAACGAAACTGGCTAAACAACTACAACGACACTAAACCACTATTTTACCGCAGATACGTTGACGATATTTTTTGTGTTTTAACTAACGAAGCTGAGACCATGAAATTTTACAAATGCATCAACACACAGCACACAAACATTAGATTTTCATTTGAAACTGAACAAGAACATCAACTACCATTTCTTGACATTTTACTAACAAAATCACACCTGTACAACGTCTACATATCACAAACCAACATACACAGGACTTCCGATGAAATATTTTAGTTTTACATAATCTTCGCACAAAACTGGACTTAAACGCACACCACTCGAAAGAGCATACAAACTTAACAATACGACCAACGGCCTTCAAAGAGACATAAAAAACATCACATCCATTCTTTTACGAAACTCCTTCCCACTTCACTTTATTAACAGAACCGTAAAACGATATCTCGACAACAAACAAAGCAACAACCTCGACTTAGACACCGAAACTACTGATACGACGACCACAACCAACGCAAACGAAAATTCCAAAATAACAACTCAATACTTTAAACTACCGTACATCGAACATTACTCACAACACACACAGCGCAGACTTACGAACATTATGAAACGCTGCTGTACACATAATGATGTTCGACTAATTTTCACATCATTTAAAATCAAAAACTTCCTCTCATTCAAAGACCCGATCCCTGATTCAATGGTGGTATATGAATTCAATTGCGCGGGATGTAATTCCCGATATATTGGCGAAACTTCGCGCCATTTATCCACCAGAATCAGGGAACATACCACAACAGAAAAAAACTCTAATATCTACTGACACCTTCTTAAATCTCACTCATGTAAAACCAACTATTCACCCTCCTGCTTCAAAATTATCGACACTGCAGACACCTCATTCTCCCTTAAAATCAAAGAAGCACTCCACATTAACAAAACTAACCCTGACCTCAATGTTCAAGTTTTTAGATTCAACAAAATATTTAGTTTGTAACACGCTCCCCATTAATTTATCTCATTTCCTTATTATTTTTATAATTTATCCATATTTATATATTTATGTCACTGTATCATATTACTTTTATATAAACTTTGTATTATCTATGTAATTATTCATTTATACTGAAGATGGCATCATGAGATGTCGAAACATGTCTATCTTCAAACAATTTGTGGTGTACATTAAATGCCAATAATTTCTTGTAGTGGTGAATAACGTGTTATATTACTAAAATTTTCATCAGGGGCAAAACAAGCCCGAACTTTTCAATGTTTTATTGTACCCATATGCGAAATCAAAATGCCACAATGGATACTACGACAACTTGTAGAACACTCTCTACGATTTTACAGAAAGAAAGCCTAGCTTACACGTTCTTTGAAGTTACATGTATTATGTTCTGTGCAATTTTGTTAATTCATATGGAATTCAAACATGTTTCTTAGAGATGAACGTCGGTTGCCAAGGAAAGGTATCTTGTGAGACAAAGTGTCTTTAACTTTAATTTTAATATAAAAATATGCAGCAAGCAATTTAATTTACTAGATAGACCGAGGGGCATTCTTAGAATGCAGAATTTCGTAAATAACACAGCTTTTTTTGAATTGTGTTCATGCTGAAGCAATACACTCATTCACGAGATCATCAAATCAAGTTTAACACATGTGCGCAACGCACACCTACTTTCAGTTGATGTAGCATGTTTGGAGTGTTTACAAAACACGGTTAGTCCAACCAAACTATGAAATGACGATGCACAAGTCTCGTACAATCATGATAGAGAAGACATTTCCTTTTGTTAAAGCGAAATGTATTATATTAACCACTAGTATTTTTCATATCTTTATTGACACATGATTTTTATGAACTTAGCTCATTATCGTCTTGGTTTTTTCTTGCCAACACTGCCAGAACTTCCAAATTCACTTGTTCTTGATCGTGCATTTTGTCTGTACGAGCCGTTATTTACAGCTACTGTAATAAAGCGGACATGGATATTTACAAAAAATGTATTGCAAATGGCACAGGTGTTACAGCAGATTTGGACCCACGATAGTGGATTTGGGCAGAAGAGTCCATTTAAAGGGGCCCAAATCAGCTGGGACACTGGTTGCAGAGCGAGTTTTTATTTCCTACGTTTCAACAATATATATAATGTAATATGTAAGTTTGAAAATTGGTAATCCAGGCATTTAATACATAAAAGATAAAAGTTTCTCCGGATTTTCAATGATTTTTATTGAGCTTTCAACTCGTTGCTTCGAGACTTCATCAGAATGAGGAAATTACTATTTACATGTGCTTTTTGCTTGTAGACGCTTAGAGCGTCTAATTGGATTAGCTGGTGGATTAATGTGATTGGGTGGGGTGGAATGCGTTGTCATGACAATGAAAGCTCAATAAAAATCATTTAAAATCCGGAGAAACTTTTATCTTTTATGTAATGTAATATGTATGTATATACAATAGCTTGATGCCGAGGAGGCAGTCTTGCATATTAAACAAAATAAATTATAGCAGTTTAATTTCATGGTCATTCCAAATACACAATTAAGATAGTTTAATGTAAGCCTTACCCTCCATCCTTGCAAGACTTGGATCAATATCGTGGGGCCATTCTATTTGACATCCAGGACATTTCTTCAATATTCTAAAATAATTAAATCAATAAATTTATGACACTTACAATAGATTGTCCTGGCGGGAAACGTAATCTTATTATCAATATCAAAAATCCCAACTTAATTACCTTTGGTAGAAATACTTAGCTGCGCAGTGATGATGGATCTTCACGTCACATGCAACACAGTTTTGTCCCTAAAGTAATTTTATACAAACTGATCAACATGTTACTATGAAAGAATAAGTCAACAGTGATGTAATTAAAGTTTTCAAAAGAATCGTGATTTTGTTAATAACGGTAGAATTAAAGCAAGCAGAGCAAAGAAAACACGGGAGTAAGTCTAACGTATTTTGCCTTAACTGGTTTTGTGATTCCAGGATATTTACATATCTGAGAAGAAATATTCTAGTTTACATAGAATGGCCCATAGCTTGCATGAGCATCTAATGGTAAAGATCTTGGATAATAAACGTGAACAGAGAGATGTTTAGAGCATTCACAAAATAAACATATTTACTCATCAAATGGAGGTTGAATTATGTGGCAAAAAAAGCCCAAATTACAATTCTGAGAGAATATTTATAGTTACTATTTGAGTTCATCGTGTGACAATTGGTACATTTTCCTTTTGACAAATTTTCCTCAAAATTTAATTTCAACAAGCAAATTCTTAGTTTAAATTTTTTATTGACAATTTACTGGTTAAAAATCTATACAATGTCCATACACAAGAACAAAAGTCGTAAAACTAGCAGGTTCAACGACAAACGTACCCTCAGAACAATGTTCATGCATATACTACAATCAACAATATAATCATGGTAGATCCTTTTCAGGTATGGTTGCAGTTCCAGGTACGCGCGAGGCCCAAGCCAGTAGCTACCAGACGACTAGAGGAAAACATATGCACTATAAATACTTACATGTGCAGTGCTTGTTAGAATTATATAATTAGACGTTGAACTAAATCTAATACGCCGAATGACGAGTTAAGCCAACCTCTACAAATGTTTCCAAACAATTCTCAAAAATGGGTGATTCATTCAATCAATTTAAAAACTCATTTTACTTGAAAACACCGAGAAAACTTTTGCATGTTTCGTAAAGATATAAAATGAAAAATACAATACAGTTTTGTAAGTACATAAAGTAAATAATCATAGTCTATATTATACTTCAAAGATAACCCTTCTGCCAACTAGAAGCGTGTGTGAAGGAAAAAATATCTATAATTTAACAACGCGGACAGTTTTTTACAAAGTAAAATATTCATGATGTTTGCTTTCAATTATAAAGGGTCTTTTCAACACTCATCGCAAAAACGTACTCGTAAGCTCACTGCGAGTGCATACGAGTTACTCACAGCGAACTTACCATGACTTGCAGCATAGTTAAATTATTTGAACAAAATTTGTTGATCGCGCGAACAGACTCGCAAGCTCGCAGGGAGAGCATTTTGGGATGAGTGGAAAAGAGCCTTACGACAAGCCGAGAGAAGTCGACTAAAGACTACAAAATGAGGTTGATTCTAATAAAAATTTTTGTAATTTGACTTTTGAAGTCGAGATTTCGACGTACTTTGTAAGAAGATCACTACAAACTATAAACTGCCTATACAAATTTTTACCTTAGACAGCCATTTGTCTTTAACCCACATATCCAGAAGATTCTATCGAGAAAAATACATTTTACACATCGGTTAGGGTACTTCTGTTGAGAAGGATCAACAGGCAATGCAAAAGTGTCGAAATAAAAATATATAATTTCCTTCATCATACCTACCATTACCACATCTTACTTCTTAATGACAGGGGGAACATATATTGATACATTGATTGATTCATTTTTGGAAACAAATCATGTGGCAGATTCAGGGTATGTCAGCTCAATTCGTCGTGCAATTTTACTACTTTAACTGATTTTAAGTGTGTGGATTTATAAATGTCAAATATTCATAAACTTAGTAACTACATTCATTTCTTATTTATGCATGCGTTTCGATATCTTTTGATTTTGCGCAATCTGACTGGTTGTAGCATCGGGCAGCTTTTTGGGATATCTTGACCGTGGTTAAAAAGTGTTGTTTTTTTGGGAATGTATTTGTTCACAAAGTGAAATTGAAATTTTTAAACTTGACTTATAAATTTTTAAAATTTTTAAATTGTTTAACAAGAAAGCAAAATATATTCAGATGAAAGTTACCATAGCGAGAGTGAATTTTACAATCCAGAAGAAGTTCATTTTGTACAAAACAAAGAAATTTCAGTAAAAACAAGTCGCATATCAACCAATTTACAACGCCAATTTCTTTGTTACAAAAATACAAAAATAAATATGCCATTTACCGTTTAGGTCAGTCCATACTTAAAAAATATTTACATATATTTATATATCTTAGAATTTAATTTGTAGTGATTTAATTGAACATACCCTGGAGCTGCCATTGCCATCCATGCTCGAAAATATTTTAGATAACATAGAGTGAACAATTTTCAAGTGATTCATGACATATTTGTATTGTTGTAGAAAAGAAATTTCTACTCAGTAATAATTAAGTTCTCCATAGCACAAAAAAACAAACATAAATCAGATGAATAAAAAGGAAGAAATCTACCTCGGCGTTTGACACACTTATAGACTTTGGAAGATCGGCGGCTGCATGTAATAAATGTACAGATTCCGCGGTTCCATCCTCTGATTGCACTAATGTATCTAACTAAAAAATAATAGAACCGATTGTTTACCATAAAACAGCACTATAGGGGATAGTACATCTTCGTACCATGTGTCACGTAATTGACCTCGCTATCAATTTAGTTATCCATCATATGGCGTTTCAGCAGGCAAACAAATTATTGAATATTAGTTTCATTGTATCCACGCTGAGGGCAACTTGAATAACAATTTGCTATTGTACAATTGGGAAAATTATCATGCCTACATGACCACAATGTCAGTTAATAAAGTTTATAAAACGCCTATTTGGCGTTCAATCAGGCCACTAGAGAACAGTGTTTGGTTAAATTTGGGTATTATTATAGTTGCCAAATAGCACAATGAAATTCACGGCAATGTAATCTCACATGTGACAATAGTATATAAGTTAATCGTGTTGGCTAAAAGTGTCATTAGTGACTATCACGCGTGAAACGATCCAGGAAAGATTTTATTTCGTTCAAGAATTTCGTGTCAGTCACGCGTGATTGGTGTAATTTTACGACAGTACAGGAAATCCGAATTTCAAACTCAGGCTTACATTTCGGCAGTCCAAGTAGTTATTACAATCGAAATTAATGTCAATTAACCGGTGGTGTACTGAGCCCTCATACCTAACGACCTTAGAGATGCCTTACATGACCAAAGTCAAAACATCGATCACTTGCACGATCACGTTACGTCAACGGAGATATATATTTTTAAGAAATGCCAGCGATTGTTTCGAGAACGCAAAGTCGTTGTTATTTAGGTGCTGCGTATGCTAAATGTGATTGGTTGATTCGTAGTAGCATGACGTAAAATAAATGCAATGTTTCCGTCAGGGAAACAAGTGAAAATGTTACCTGCTCATTTTAAATAACTAATAAAACATCTATAAAGCCGAAAACAAAACAAAAACCATTTCTGGAGCTTACTAAGCGACGAAATTCAACTATTAAATACTAATAGAAAAAAAAGGATTCAGAAAACACTCGCAAGTCGACCAAAATGCTTTGGTCACTTTTCGTCAACGTGTTGCAGCGAAATTTCACACGACAAATCTTCCAGAAAGACAAAAATTTTAGTGACAGCTGTTAATGTATTCTCCCTCGTGAAATAGTGAATTTTGTTTTCCTTCGAGTCTCATGCAATGTTCCCTCGACTTCGTCTTAGAAAAAACACTCACTATTTTCCTAGAGTGTATATTGTTCACTGACTTATTCTATAATGTCCCTACCACTTTTCTGAAGAAATCAATATCATGCGGTGAGTAATTGGTTGCCAATCTGGCGATTTGATCTTCGCTATTGTTCACCTAAATATGAATATAAATATCAAATCACGTAAACTTACGAATTTCTGTTTCTGTTGTAGCTATGTAATAACAGTGAAACACAAAGAATATCTAGACTAATAACAAGAATTATAATATACCAATTTGGAAAGTACATTTTTCCCAACTATTTTATTGGTCAGGAGTGTGTCACGTGAGAGTTAAAATATTAAACTGTTACCTCCCAAGTGGCTCCACAGTGAAATAATATGTTATCTACTGGTATGTAATGAAATAAATCACTTTAACATCAAGTGAAAATGCGAACTTTGGCCGACTTTGCTAAACATCTGATCTCAATCAAAAAAAAGAGCGGGAATTTTTGTAAAGTATTTTTTATTTTTGCATTTTTTATTCCAGTTAAATATTCTTTTAGATTTAAATTTAGGATGCCATCCAGAAAACTGCTATGGTGGCGATAATCTCTCGTCCATAAGCAGTTTAAAAGAGATTGGTCTCGTCTCCAACCGATGTGGGCTTGGTAGCTCAAAAGGTAGAGCGGCGGAGTAGTACTTCGAAGGTGCGAGTTCAACTCTTGTCCAAGTCACATGTTTTTCATATGCGTATAAAAACCGCGAAAAAAGCCATCTGATGTCTTTGGAATAAATATTCTTCTGGGAAAGTAATATTTCGTTTATTACGGTTGTTGTCAGTTTTCTGAATTAAAAATGGGTTTAACTGAAATCTCTGGAAACAGTATGTTTTGTTGGCCCTCAACCGACCTAATTATCAGATTTGATATCATAGTGATAATTATCTGATATCCAGTGACGCCGGCAAAGGGGGGCAAGGGGGGAGCCACTGCCTACTGCCATCCCAATATTGCCCATACTAATGTTTTAAATATGTAAGTTGAAAATGTCCGTGATATCAACAGTGTGCGTATTAGATGTAAGCAACATTTTGAGAGGATTTCGCCTCCCCCCCCCCAACCAAGAAAAAATATAATCCTGCCGGCGCCACTGCAGATATCTCTGAAAAGTCAACACCAAAATGTGATTTTTCGTAAACTAAGTTTCTTTGAAACTTTAACTTTAATAATGAGAACACTTGTTCAACAAAAGAATAACGTTTTTACTTAATGACATGTTAGCATACGTAGACTAAGATGGTGCATGACAAAAATTTTTAAAATTTTCCATGTTGTGAACCATTTGCGTGGCGAGATATTAGCGGGCTCAGTGCTATGCAGCAGAACGAAACTATAACATTAACATTATAACGCCGCACAAAATATAAACGAGACCTATAATAATGGTAGCTATAATTATGGAAAAAACTCAAATGTTGACAATGGTTAGCGTGTCGAAATAAAATTATTCATTACATACCAAACCGTAATAGTAAGTGCCATCATCTTCTGAGACACCTTTTCGGACTTCCAAGAACAAGCTACGCACGCCACTATTGATTGATCTGATACAATTTTCGAATCCTTCCAAGTCAAAATTCCCTAAAAAAAGAGAAAATACTGAAATACAAAACTGCCAAATATCCAGGATACATAACAATTTAACACACACACACCCCTCCCCCCCATAAATAGAAATAGTAGTGCAACCGTGCCGCACGTTTCACAGTGATTGAATTGTCGTTTCTCCCAAAATTTCCAACGTGTTTAATTAACTCTATGAAACACGAAAAAATAATACTGAAGTAATACCATGGTTGCCTCAATTTCTATAGTTTTGTAAAACAAATTAATATCATATTGAGCTAACTAGAATGCACTATTCAAATTCAAAGGTCGTATTACAAGTAACAAGACCTTGTCTGTACTGGTAGCATTACAAACAATGTTTTTGATGTTTTTCGTTCGTGTTTACACTGGCTTATACAAATCTCAGACACGTTTGTGAGAATCCTCGAGTAGGTGCAACCCTCAACCTTCCGTATCGGGCTTGCACTGATCTGCTCTCGAGTTCTCCCAAAGGTCTCCTCGGTTTTCATAAGCCTGTGCAAACACATAAAACACCCTTTATTTTTCAAATATAATGTTGCTTATAAACATCTGAATGTTTTAAAGCCAATGAAAAAGGGTAAGAAAATTTCACTTCGCTAAAACCCAGCATGCGCATACTAAGCTGTTAGCTTAGTTTCATTAGTGTCTATTGGCGCGTAAGCAAGATTCTCCATGCAGTGCTCCATGCAGTTTAGAGCGTTTTCTCGCACGCGTATGCCAAATGTGCTACAACAGGAGGAGAAGGGTTTTATCATGAAATCTAGAATAGTATCGTTTAGTACGTTATTAATAATTAAAAAAGCGGCACTAAGCGGTACCTATGTAGTATCAATTATGAAGCACAAACTTCCCTATCATTGGCCAGATTATGTTGGCCTTTCATCCAACGTGAGATGCCCAGTTTAAAAAATTGAGATTTATCAGGTTTCAATATTGAAGTCAAGACATCCTGACAATTCACTTGGTGTCTGCGCTTGACTTTGAGAATGAATCTAATCTAGACAACGTCATAAATTCTTCATCTTCAACAATAATCAGCGATACATCATACATATTCATTGTGAAAAAGATAGGAGCAATGCCATACATTTCATATGTATGCGTGTTTGTTTTTCGATGCTTTTCAATAACATCGAAGGGTCGACGTGCTCCTGTGTTAAACACTCAGCAGGTGTAATTTACAGACTATCATCAATTTACATAATAATTATAAAATTACAATTCTTGGTTAACGAATCTTCATGAACAGTTTTATGATTCATAATTTGCAAGATGAAATCACCGAGCATTAGCAGGCGACATATTGGCGCAAGGAACGAGGGTGGGTGTTTATATGAAAGCCTAGATCTTTTCCTAGATCTAAGAGGGCAATGTAAACAATTGAAATACGTATTTATTTAACCAAGGCTGGGTATTTTTCCATATGAGCACAATGACTAGAGCTGGCTCGCGTGCCCAGGTTGGAAACTAACGTGCCGCAAGAAATCAGCTAGACAATGTGGACTAGCCCAGAAACACGTATATTAGAAGGCGTTTATCTTGTACGAGAATATCGTTTAGGCGAAATTTTCCTTTTTTAGACAGCTAATCTGATAGGCAGATCTAAATTCAACAACCTACACAAAGATATAGTTGCACAACAGGTGTATAGATTAGCTTCGTTGTTGTATTAACATTATAAAGCACATTCTTTATTGACGTTTTCAGTCGTATGTATTTCATGACTTTTTTGACACCTTATAACTCCTTATAAGACGATTGTCATGCATTGCAAACAACGCAGCTACCTAGGCAGATGTTAGAGGGGGATTACGGGTGGCACGGAGAAGCATATTATGATCAATAAGGAGATAACCACTTTTCCTGTTCTTTCTTACTATTGTTCTTCTTAGGTCATTGGATACGAAAAGAACAAAAATTGATGAGCATGCTTAGCTTTGGCATATCTCTAAAAGAAAAAAGAATTTCGGTACATTTTTTTCGAAGATACATAAATATTTATGTCTAATCAGGATTATCGCCACATGCACACTAACGTCATCATATTTTCAATAATTTAAATAAAAAGATGAGTTTTTAACTAAATGCATATGACATCGTCACGTTTGTTGTAGAGGGTCTTTAAAAGCTGAAATATATAATTAGTGAAAGGTCAACATAGTCGACAGGTTCCTGTGCAAATATCCAAAATTTTCTTTCGAAAGATGAAGAAATTCATCGAAGCATACAGACTCTCATACGCAAGTGACATTAACGTGGGTCTTATTAACAGAAACGATGAATCGTACTTTTTTGAGTAAGAATGTTGCCCAATGCCTTTCTCTGTTTATGGCTACGCAGTGTTTTGTCGGTTGTATAGCAAATGCGATCGTTTTGTTGTATTTTATACGCAATAAAAGACATTTCCAGAATACGGCAGACAAACTTATTCTTCATTTGGCCGTTACGGATTTTATAGCTCTATCAACGTACGTTCCATGGCGTTCATATCTTTTAATGATTCGAACAAGAACAACAAACTACAAGTTCTACACTTCATTGTTTGTTTTTTGTATATTTCTCACAGGAAGCGCTGTACTACTCATCGCATTTGATCGATTCGTTGCCCTGACCAGGCCGCTAAGATACAAAGGTCTTATAACGTCGAAAGTATTTTGGATTTCTGTCAAGACATCTTGGATATGCGCCTTTTTGCTGGGTATTTTCCATTATTTTAGTTATGATTTTCGCGTTCATGACGAGTATGAGGTTTTTCTTAGCTCTTTGTCTTTCCTACAATTAATTCTTATGGCCGTCATATACACCTTCCTGCTAAAGTCAACCGCTAACCTAGGAAGAAAAATGTGTGGCGAAAGTCTCTCGTTTAATGTGAAACAGTCTGCTTTAACAGTAAAGACCGTTCGTATGACGTTTGTGATTGTCTGCTTATTCTACGCAACCTTTACACCTTATACGGCCTACAGAATCGTTTCAACCATTGATGAAAGCATACCTCTTGATACAAGACATGAAACATGGCGCTGGTTAACTGCATTTACTTTCTTGAATTCATGTATAAATCCTTTTGTTTACTTCTACCGTATGAAGAAATATCGTCATAGACTTTGTATAAGTTGTTTTGGAATGCAGCACGATCATGGTGAAAGAAATTATGAAAATTTTCGAAACAACATTACTCATTTGGTAGTGGAGGCGAATGTTGGGAATGAACGTTTACTTGCGAGTCGGTAGAGCAATGTTGAAGCTATGAAAACGATACACAATAAAGGAGAGATTATCTTATCAATTTCTGGATGAATAGTAATATATCCAATAAACTTGTCATCGCCTAGTTAGAATTTCTGTTATTTCCTGTAATCGAATGATTTAAATGTAATTTGTAATTGATTATAATTGCGGTGATGACATCATATGTTGGTAGACGGTACTACTTCTCCTTCCTTGAAGATTTACAGTTTCTAAAAGGTTTTAATCTTACAATTTCGTCTCCAATGAATGTAGAACTTGCTGCTTGCAAATCATTTAGCTCCTGAAAGGCAGATACTTCTATTTTATGTCAAAAAATCACCAAGTCCCATGAATAAATACAATCGTGGATTTTCTAGCAGTTGCTGTGCGTTTGATAACGGGAAAGAAACTGTTGAAAATGAGATGTCGAGGACAATAAAATCGACCGTTACAAACGAAACGATGCATTAGAAAAAAAGGCAAAACAATGAGGCGCCTGATATCTTACACTTAATGTCTTTTGAATTCCTTACATGCATACATTTTTTGCATGTTGACGAGGACAAAAGACATATTTCAGACAGGCACTTCGACAGCGATGTTGCTATGTTAGTTAATTCATTGCATTATTCATTAATTGCTTATGGACGTTCTTGCTCTCTTACTATGTTAATGCTCTCGTTCTTGCTCTCTTACTATGTTAATAAATGACAAATTAATTCTGAAAATATATACAGTATTTTATTCAAATCTCTTTCACAAAATACTTACTTAGCTCGTTCATAAAAGCCTCAAAAAAATAAAAAAAGAGCTTCTACTGAAATTCAATTACTAGCTACTTGAGCGCGAATTCTTTCAAAAACGCATTTTTAGGGGCCGATTACATGGAGCAATTTCAGCCCTGTTTGAAATTTCAGCCAGGGCTGAAGCTCAGCCCGAGCTGAAAAATCTGTCAGGTAATCGTTTCAGCCCGGGCTGAAACAACAGCTAAAAATATTCACGCATGCGTGCGTGCGCACCTATTGCTAATGGTGACGACAACTGGCGATCATGCCTCGGACGAGCTTCGTAAATTTCAGCCCGGTCTGAACACCGGTCTGAAATTGACCATATAATCACACAAAATTTCAGTTCGGCCAATCGTGTTGAAACTCAGCCCCGGTCTGAAATTGATCCATGTAATCGGACCCTTAGTGCAGCGAGCGCTTCAATTGCCCAAAACTATTTCCGTTATTGAAAACTCCAAACTGCTTGGGTACTTGCTTATTTTTCATTCTCGTCAGTTATTAACTACACCGATAAAAACGTCTATTAGAATAAACTTTCGAAAGAGTTTCATTATAACGCAAATTAGAATAACAACGAGAATTATAACCATATTGCACGTTGTGTATATTAAAGTGACTTACATTCGCCTTGAATTATACATGAATTAAACCTAAGCAATGCAATAATCAACATCAACTAAACTACTGCAATTCAAAAACAATTAATTTTACTTGTAGCAACGGCAATATCGTAACAAGAGATCCTATTTGTCGTGCTCATCATAAATGAGACTAATATTTTAAAGCATGAAGAGAAGTTGTTTTGTCTTTTCAGTCTGTCAAAATTGCACAAGAATGTCACTTTTATATTCCGAATTGAATCCATACATAGGGCTGTATCATATAACATAGCCTGCAAAAAGGACTATATATTGACCAACTCGACGAAGACTATTTACTCCTGAATAAATAACGTTTGAAGCCCGTAGTACATGCTTCGGAAAATGACTTCAAAAAAAGTGCGAATCGAATTAGCTGAATTATGGTCAACTTTCGCAAAGTTTCTATATTATCATAGGAATTCTTTGCTTGCTCGAGAGGCGATGTAATTATACGGAAGTTTCTATGCCACACTAATAGCTATAATTTATGAGAATACAAAATACAATAAACCGATCTCTATCAAACAATACAAGGGCCAGGAAAATGGATTTTTAGGAGTTCAATCGATTTAAGAACATTTGTAGTATACTTCATTATTCCAAAATTTTATCTTTATTGGCTAGGGCTGAAAATGACGTAATAAGGAGAATGAAGTATAAATACCGTAATATAATAAAGAATTTCAGTGAGAAAATAGCGTCCGAAAAGCTGTATTTTTTACATGTTTACTTTGATTATTCGCTGTCATCAAACTGTACATCTATGCAGCATCTTAAACTTGTGCAGCGTTTTTTTAGAAGCCTTCTATGACATCTTTATTATTTACTATAAACATATATAATGAAAGCTATGCCTGAAAGGCAAATGTTCTACTTTGGAGGTCATTTTCAGCGCAAGGACATCTACTTGCAGCCATACGAAGCCAATGAAGAAAAAACTTTCGACCTGCAGACATTATTTGACTGGCCTGGATATATCCAAGTTCTTGAAATTGGTGGGATTTTCTGGAGGCTCTTACTTGGATCATTTTTCACGAAATACAACTGAGAGCAGATAAATTATAATCAATTAAAATTACGCATTTTTAGGTTATCCAGCAAAAAAATTGTAGCATGGTGGTGCATAGAGACAACATATTAGAATCATAATGTAAACAAGCTACGCCACTGTCGACAGTGACAGTAATTATCGCTCTCATGTTGTTTATACAGCAACCATTGTCCAAAAAAAAAAATCTCATTTTAAGTCAGTATGTTCAAAGCAATAGCCACTAGCCTAGTTTATAATGAGGGGAAGCCATTACGTAATGGGAGTAGAGTCGTTTAACTACACCCCAACCCAAAAACACCTCCGATTTTGGGAATCATGCATGATAAGCCGGTGCAGAAACTGACTCAGAGGGCAAAAATTAGTCAAGACATAATTCTGGGCTTTTCTATCAAAACGGGAACGTGTACCACCGTTCATAACACAGGTAGGTATACTAAAACATAACTTTAACAGCTTATAACTTTAAAAATAAATCATGTTGGCCTGACAAAAACTACAAAACATAAGACATAAATAAGCAAGAGCACTCTAATCATTTAATAGTATTTATTTATATCTAGATGAATGAACTACATGTGAAGAATGAATATCATCCTTACTCAAACAACCTTAAAAATATAATGCACAGCACAAGATTTTATGTTGCGAACCCATGACGGTCAAAGTTAATTAATTTTGAGTCAAATCAGGGTCTCAAATTTGAATTTTTTTCATGTGTCTAAATGGATACCAGGGTTTCACAATATTGTATACCTCTTGATAATCAAGCATCCCAAATAGGGATACATAACTAGTTGGCTTTTCTTATCCTAGGATCAAATATAACATAACCCTTGGGCTTTCCCTCATTTAGTTAATGATAAATGTAGAAGTTCCTTTAAGAATTCCACTTTGCAATTTATTGATAACTGTTACTTAATTATCATCAGCTAAAGCTGTTTACCACTGAGGGTTAGTTGTCGTTTGGGAAAAAGATGCCGATATCTGCACATATACAACATCCAATTAATGGGTCCTAGCTAATTCACTGTTATTTGAGTTCATTATATTTCATTGAGATGAAGGCACCCTTAATGGGGAAATGGCATCTTTACATAAACAGACCTTATTATTTTTTTCAATAAAAGAATTTTCAAAAAGTTCATAAGTTGTTGCAGTTACAAATTGAAAGGTTGCGACTGACTAAAAATCAGGCTGAAAAATAAATTTTTTGGAGAGTGGATTAAACAAAAGCATACACATGTGTATTTAAAATTTGAATGGACCCTAATGAATGTAAATTATAATGCAAAATGCTGGTAATTAATGAATTTCCTGATGTAAGTAACATAATTGAAATTAAAGTAAATGGTTTGAGCCCGGAGTATCATTACATCATACATGTTTGTAGATGTTGATTGTCCAAGTTAGTATAGTCCTTATAAGGACTGCAAGGACTGCAAGGACAAAAACAACAATAATAGTCCTTATCAGGACTATACTACCTGGGCGATCAACATCTACAAACATGTAATTGACATTAATGCTATTGCAAAGAATTACATGCAACAATTTAATAATAAAGAATTCAAAATTGGCATGGCATGTTCAAAAATATTTTACATACAGTAACATATAAACAGAAATTTGTCCTGCACATGGAACCATGTGATTTCTGAAGGATGGAGAAGGCATAGCCCATGCACTTGTCAGAAAATCAACTATTTCAAATAGTGAAATATTAGGAAAACTACATTTACACTCTATGATATCTAGACCATATTCCCACTTTTCAAAATATATTTTTGCCATTGGACCAACACAATAATCTGCAATAGGTAACATACAAAATAACAACAAATACAACTAACACAACCAACTCATTAACTAAAGCAGCTTATATGATTTTAAATGTAGACTGTCCAGGTTGTTATAGTCCTGAGGACTGTTTTTGTTGTTGTTGACTGACGTTTCGACAACCTTAGCGGTAGTCATCTTCAGAGTCAAATGAGGAGTAAACGTCAGGTTAGCCGTAGTCCTTCTCAGGACAATCTACATTTACAAACATGTAACAATACTCCCCGGTCCGAACCATTTACTTTAAAGCAGCTTATGCTTTGCAAGTTTGTTTATTGGGCATTGTCCTTAAGACTTAACAATGCTTTCTTGTCTCTATTGTTAAAAAATTCACAATGTCATAAAGTGTCAATATAGAGCAAGTTCTATAATATAAGAGATTAAACAAATAATATGGATACTAATCGAAAGGAAAGCCTCCTATATCAAACAACATTTCAACACACTTTTGGAAATTGGAAAATAAGATCTTGACTCAAGATAGAGACTAGAGAGTGGTATGATTGTGTAACAGACAGCATGAGGTTCATTCCATTGTTAAATAGTTCACATGTATATTTACAAAAATATTACTTAGCACGGAAAAGTATCCTTGAATGAACAAAAATCACACCACTTGTACAGTAAAATATAACTTTTTTAACCATTATTTCTAAATAAACCTCATGCGTGAGCTACCTTACATAAAAGATACTTCGATATCATGAAAATGGCGACATACCTTCCACTTCCCCTTCGTTAAATAGTTGAACACATCTTGAATACGATGCTTTCGTCTCTGCTTCGGACATAAAAGGGGTTGAAATAAGACATTGAAGAAACAAACGATGTATATCTTGCATTTTATTAAGGAAAGGCATAAAGCAAGTTGACAATTACAGGAACATCACATAAGAAAATACAAAACCTCTGTAAACTGTTGTTGACGGGGTTTAGATCTTCGCGGGAAAAAAGTGCCTGCGATAAGGTGCCTGCGATAAGGTGCCTGCGATGAGGTACCTGGAATGATAACGACAATGCATTTATAAATATAAAATTGAAGCCAATGTCCTAGTCTCTTGCGCGGTTTGTACGTCAGTTCCAGTCCTTCAAAGTCTAATATTCACGCGGTTTGTACGTCAGTTTCATTCCCTAACTTCAAAACCCTACACGGCCACTATAAGTTTGAATTTTTTCACACAAGCGCTATCGCGAAAAGCTACGCCACGCTAATGGACAACTCACTGCGAAAATTTTTTTATCGAGTTTGTTGAGAGAAAGGATATATTTTAATAAAACTTCCTGAAAAGACAGTGATAAGTTTTTTCACTTATGCCAATTTATTGCGTTGAGCCTGGGTTAACAAGCAAGCAAAATGGCAAGGAAATACTTGGTGAGAAAATTTCTTTTCATCGGTAGGTAAATTTCTAATGTCATTCGTCAATACCATTTCACACAATTTCTTGGGCTGTCATTTTTTTATCCTAATAAAAATTAACAAAGGAACTGGTCTCAATTTGTTTGTTCATGAATATTTAATGTTACCACGCCCCATTATGAATTTTAAGTAGATGCATTTTTCAAACTCGCGCTCTTAATCAATTTTTCAAAATAAACAAAGATGGCGAGTATATGAAAGTGCAATCAAAGTGTTAGTGGAATGGAAGACAACGTTTATGGAAAAGCTACTAGTTGACTTGTATCATTCTTTTATATATGTTCTATAAGAACTGTATTTCAAGCGAGATACGAAATAACTGTTAAACATGGTTTGCCGAAAATTAAAGGAAAACAACTGTTTTTCACTTTGTAAACATTTGTGTATACAGTAAAAAGTATATAGTATCCTCAAAATTTTGTCGAATGCTCACGTTATTCCGAAAATTTTGAATTGTTTATTCGCTGATGATGTTTTATCAGTATAAACGTAATGAAACTTGACTAAATTTTCCTAACGAAGATACATCTTTGTTGACTTTTGATATTAAGAAAGTGGATGCTAGTAGGGTTTTGGATGCAATGGCCATCCGTAAACAGGTCCAGTGTGAATCAGCCAAAAACAAGTATAGTGGTTTCATTGATTATGGATCATTAAAGGCACCCCAAATTGTTGCATCCGAAGCCCTTGTTTTCTTGTTGGATTACAAGGTCATTGGAGGCAGTCAATTGGATACATTCTTACAGACAAAGCTTCTGCAAGTGTGCAAACACAGATTATCAACATTGCACATGGTGAAAGCAAGTGATGCTGGTCTGAAAATATGGTGTGTAATATCAGATGGGATGACGACCAACATTAGCCCTTTCAAGAAAATTGGATCTAGTTTTAGCAATACCTATGATTCAATTTCACCAAAGTTTCAACATTCTATAACTGGCGAAGATGTCTTTGTTGTATTAAATGCATGCCATATGCTGAAACTTGCAAGAAATGCATTAGCATTTCTTGGTACAATCTGTTCAAGTGATGGAGATGAAATACAATGGAAATTCTTCCACGCTCTTAATTTACTGCAAGAGCAAGAGGGTCCTGCCAACAAATTATCAAATAACCACATCCAGTTGGGAAACACAACATGAATGTGAGTTTGACAGCTCAAACACTCAGTGCCGCAGTTGCAGATGCCATTGATTTCATGAACGTAGTCCAAAAATAGTCAAAGTTCCAAAATAGTGATGCTACTGTTACATTTATCAGAAACATTGATAGACTTTTTGACTTACTAAATTTAAAGGGGAAGTCAGAGTTCGGAATAACTTAGGCTCAAATGAAAGAGTATTGTATTATTACTTTGCATACCAAGTCTAAAATCTTTACGTTAAATACAACTCGAGAAATAAAGCAATGAAACTGCGTTATTTTGCAAATATAAATGTACATCCGAGCGAACCTGCGATCAAGCAGCGGAATTACATCGTTACGTCACTGCGCGACTCTGTAATCGAGCAATTTCGAAGAGAATAGAATAGATATTTTGTCTGTCAATTTTAAAGTCTTCTAGGTAAATGGCGTATTTAAACGATTCTTCGAGCGACATTTTGACCTGTTCTAACTTAAAAGATGGTAAAGAAATTTCAAAGATAAATGGAGGGTTTAAATATTATACTTTTGAACTGGTTAATGAAACGGGGACATATTTTTCTGACATGCTAAGACGAAAGCAGAAAATATGTGTATTGAAGATTCCAATTCAGAGTTTTAACGACACCACGATTTTCGAGGTATTTGTATATTTCTATATTACATTTTATATATATATATATATGTACTCTTTTTATCTGGTTCACCATATTTACAGTCCTCGAAATCACAGTTTGTTTATTAAAGAATTGTATTAATATGTAGGCCGTGCCCACATAGTTGGCAGTCGCGGAAGATTATTATTTAAGTGTTAGATAACCGGTTATGTAAAACTTTAAAGAAAACCTCTCCGCTACTTAAGAAACTGTTCCCACTTTGTTTTTCTGTTTTAGTACACGGTATTCTGTGTTGTAAATTGTAGGTAAATCGTAAAACCTTGCTGTTGATGCCATCTTCAATTTCTGAATTTCAAAGCGCTGTTGCTAACTTATACTTACCATAATTACTACAAAGCCCACGATGGCGTAAAAATTACTGGCAACATGGTAGCTATTTCTCAAGTAACGGGAGCGACATGCTTCAAATTGCCATGTGGCACTAGCTATAGAATAGCATGCTAATTATCTGCACGACTGACAAAAGTAGGACATAAACACCTAGTTTTATGTATAGTAATAATAATATAAACAATCACTAGCCAAGCTAGCTTGCAAATTTGTCCTGTGATGTTAATTTCTTAGCTTTACCATTATTAATTTCTTTAGAACCAAATTTGCAGGCTGGCTTTGTCTCATATGTAGATATAATTTGTTCAATTGCAAAGATTACATTTTGTCAGAGTAATAAACTATAGGATACCTGGCTTGACTGTTTCTTTTTGTAGCAGCTAGTTGTTTGCTGTCATATTATCATTTATTAAATACTTAATTGACTGTTTACTTGGCCTATATAAAAGCCAGGTCTGTCTAGTCATTCTCTAACAAGAAAAATTTCTGATATTTAAAATTGCCAGGTATTCTATAATTTAGCCACACCTATGTGTGTATTTCAGCCATTCGTGATCGGTGTGCTGCTATCACTTCTTTTTTGCTTGGTCTTGGAGTAGGTGCAATATTCTTTGGAAGTTTAACATGCTTGTCTGATGGTTGAGGATTCATGTCCACATTGAACTCTATCACATCATCCATCAGTTGCAGTACAAAATCAAAACACTTTTTCTCCAACACTGGTTTCACTATCCATTTTTTACGTCCTTTTGGGAAGACCACCTTATACCTTTTTTCCCCTTCTTCCTTACCTCTGGTGACTGTTGCTTGCCTCCTTGCAGTGTTGGAGTTGTGATCAATCACAGCTAGTTGAGTACAGGCCACCATTCCCTTGTATGAGAAGTGTTTACGTTTTGGTACATATTTTAGCAGCAAGGAATGGTAGACCTCAAGGTTGCCAGTATGGTGAAATTCTGTAAGCTGTTGTATATCTTTTAAAAGCTTTCTATTCAGAACAACCGCCTCCAATGCTATATGTGGGGCAGATCCAGCCTGCAACCATTTCGTGTTTCTTTCTTTGTTTTTAGATAAAGGGCCATGTGCACATTTGCAAAAATGTTTGCTATTTCTCCAATTATGTTTGTTGACTATATGATGTAAAATGGACACCCATTTCTCATGGAGCACTTCAGCATTTCCCTGACAACTTTGTGCACACCACCAAAGGTGATTGGATACAGACTGAATCCACTCTAGTAGCTCATGATTTTCTTTTTTCTTTGCCTTCTCTGTCAATTTTTTTGTCACCCACTTTGAGAGATGCCAAACATCATATTGGTGCACTATGGAAGAGTACCTCTTTCGCATTTCAGAGGTTATTTGAATGTGGCGGTCAGTTGTCAATGATCTCACTTTCACACCTTGCTCAATGACATTGTCAAGTGCTCTTTGGCATCCTTTTTTCTCCATTGCATTAGAGGATGAAACTTCAGAGACTTGAACAAGAGAAAAGTCAATAATTTTCTCTGAAGTTTCATCCATTAAGGAATATGTACCATATTTTGCGCTATGACCAGGACTGTCTGATCTACCATCACCACATAAGTCAACCGGTTTCATTTTGTTTTGATGGTTTCAATAATTTCTTTTGTTGTTTTTATAGACATTGTCAATGACTGGGAAGACAATCTTATTTTGAACTTCATAAAACTGATCTTTATTTACAAAGTTTAAATTAATTGCATTTGCAAATTGCTTGGTGGCTTCATAGGTTCCTCCAGTCATGATAGTTGCAGCAGGAATTAAAATATTACCTGCTGGTTTATTGTGCAAATATGGTTGAGACTTCCACTGGTAAGTATGATTATTGCTACATGTTGTTTTTATGGCAACCATACTACCAATATGGGACTTCTCAATCTCACAAAGAGAACCACATATTCTACATGTTGCGAACAGCTTATCAAGCATGCTTTCAAAGACAATGAATTTTCTTTGATTTTTTAGTTCCTCACCTTCAGATTCCTCATCTGTATCTAGTTCCTCAAGATAGGTATAATCATCATCACTATCTGTTGCAGCAATATCATCACTGCTTCCTAAAGAGATTTCTGAATCAGATGATATAATAGGAGTTGTTGTGATAGGAGTTGTTGTGTTAGGAGTTGTGGGGGATGTTACTGGTTTTGGTGTACGACTTGAAGAAACTGCATTTAAAGAGGGGCAACATTTTTTGAAGCGTTTTATTTTTAATGGTTTCCTTTTCTTTGTGCAAGAGTTTGTATGGCAACTGTCCTTTGTCTTGGTGTATCACACTGTGCTTCTGCATCAATGAAAGCTCACATTGAATCTGGGCATCCTTGGACAATGGACTGGGAGGCTGATCTTCAATGCATGTTGCAAGATTTGTATCTTCATCTAGTGATTGTATTATGCTTCTAACTTCCTACAAAATAGTCAAACTTCTCAACCAAGAGAGTACAAAGCTAATTGTTTAAAGAACAGTTCAATAACTTCAAATATAATCTATATGGTTGCAATATCCTATTTACCTCATGTCTTGCAATTCTATCTCTCATTTGTTCTCTTCTGTGTGACATTTTTCGCTCGGGTTTACGATTTAAAAATGGAAATGTCGATGGTACACTACTAGGTTCGATCTTTTTCGATTTCATGCCGAATATCTCCTTTAGAGAAGTACTAAAGCAATCTGGAGTGAAATGGTCGCTACATACGTAACATGAATTTGGCTTCGGTATATTATCACGACGAACCCGTGCAAGCCATATTTTTTGCATTGTTGGGTCGTTTGGCAATCGATGATACGATACATCGCTACCTTTTGTTTTTCTAGATCCGTTAGTGCAATTAGGCACCATGCAATGTGGCATTGTTCCGAAATATTTAAAGTAAACAAAGTAATTGTAATTGTGTCGCTTTTCCTGATATGTTGTCTATTTGAATATATATACGCTCCCGCGAAAGCGCGCAGTGACATCACGAGACTTTACCGCTGCTTGATCACAGGTTCGCTCGCATGTACATAATAGCTGATACAAAATATACAAAATTTCGTGGTTTCATCGCTTTATATCTCGACTTGTATTTAACTAGAAGATATAATATTTGGTATATAAGGTAATAAAAATATAATCTTTCATTTGGGCCAAAGTTGTTCCGAACTCTGACTTCCCCTTTAAGGAATCCTCATGGTAAAGATTTTAAGAAACCACTAACATTGAAATATGAGTGGATGGCAATCAATTCTCGAAACATCAGCAAAGTATTTGCTTGGTCTTACATCACATGAAGGAGTACCTCAAGCATCCTCGTAGAACATTTGTCATAGGAATTGTAATAAGTATAAAGCCCACCTTGGAAATGGTGAAGCAGATGCTAACATTGCCAGAAAATCCATTTAAGTATGTGCTGACATACAAGTACTCTTAAGATCACATAGAGCTTCTGTTCTCATGCACTAGGGCAAGAAGTGGTTGGAACAATAACCCAGACAGTCTCCAGCTCAAGTATGCACTTCGAAGAATGCTTCTTGGAAATTCAGTAACAGCATCAGCTAATGCAAATTGGCAGGTTTTTGATGATTCTGTTATCATTCCTGTCGTTCGATCAAGAAAGCATGCATCTCCATTAAAACAAGATTCACAATGCCAAGAACACAACAATATCCAAGAAACAGATAAAGAAAGTGAAATGCTTTGCAATATTCTGAAATCCAACCCACATTCTGAGTTCATCCAAAATATTTTGAAATACATTAGTGGTTTTATTGTTGCAAAGTTAATGAAGAAAGTCAAGTGTCCCTTCTGTATTTCCAACTTAACTAGAACAGCAAATCCTTTAGCTCCATCAGAACATGATTATTCTATAAAACCAATGAATGAATTTAAACCATTTCTTCTTCATTTTCTAAATTAAAAAAAATTAAAAACACCATCAAAATTTGTAGCTGATGTGGTTAAATATGCCGAGCACATATCTAAATTATATATAGCAAGCCCAAACTCTGATCAAGTCAGTAACAAGAGAAATATCAAAACAAAGATGCTGGTAGAATTGTGTAATCACTTTAGTCAGATTGCTACAAATTTGCTTCCTCCTCGACACAAAGACAACTTTTCTTTGACTTTAGGCCACCAGAGTTTTAATTTCCATACGGATGTATCTAGAGCTTGTACACGAAGCAAAAGGTCAACTACGTGACCTAGGATATCAAGTATGGACAACAAATTTGCAACAAGATTTGAGCCAGCAATCATATACTGCCATTCCTCGTCCTCACTTCAAATAGGGTGAAGCAGATGAAATGCTTTCGAAAAGGATCCAAAACTTTTCTCGATTTTCATCCACTGGTTGTTCGAGGGGCTAGCAAATCTTTGTGCTGCATACGACGCTGGACGAAGGGCATGTTCATCAACCATTTTTAAAAAGGCAAATACTTTTCCTTAGGATAGGACATGGTTGAAAATGTTGCACTTTTTGATGAAACGTTTCAAAAATGCCCCACTGGAATTGTTGGAGTTGCGCACGTCTGTAATAGCCAGGTTCAAAAGATGAGCTGGATCGCATGTGACTGGAAGAGCAAGCTTGCAATCTTCTTTCAGAAGATAATCTTGCAAGCCATCAGCTTGGTATGGGCCATCAGCGCTTACACCACACATGCAAGACAAGACATCTTTAGAAAAATGGTCTAAAATTCTATCAAGTAGTTGCTAACCCAGAACATCATAGGACGCTTGCTGGAAAGCACTATACACAGGTGGGGCAGCAACAGGTATGGGGCATGTTACTCCACTTTTGTCTCGAGCAATGATAAGAACAGTTTGGTTAGTGATTCTTGACGGGGTAGCTTTATCAATTGTAGCCCAAACGTGGGAAGGAAGATGAGTGGACGGAAGAGGAGTGTTTAGCCATTCTAAAATTTTGCCATTAAGAACTTTCTCTAGGCAATATAGGGTGTCATTAAAATTGTTGCGCACGTGACCCATGGAGTCTACATCGACTGAAAAGCAAGCTAGAAACGAAATAAGCGTTTCAAATTTTTATTCGCATCTCCAAGTTTCAGATATGGCATTGCTGCTCTAAATAGATTACTACAGACAGTCCACTTCTTCTTTATCCATTCCATTTTCTTCGTGTGCTCTTTCATCGCCTTTCTGTGAATGATGTGGAATTTGTGACGGTACCAAATTTTGTTATGGCCATTGATCAGTAAACGGCTCTTTTCTTTATTAAGATAAGTGCCAGTAGAAAGGTTTCCATTAGATTTCGACTTAAGTAACTCTGTTGCTTTAAATGGATTCAACTTTTTAAGTGTTTGTTTTGCAATTGTGTGAAATTCAAAACAAGGAAGGCATCGTGTAATGGCAGATTCTGCTGTTTCATCGTAGAGCCACTGGATCAAATCTGTAGCCTCACAAAGTTCAATTATATTTGTGGCTCTCCTTATGCCTTCAACTGAACGGCGAACGTTCTCATCTTCAAGTGCAAAGTGTTCAAGTGTTTCCTGACGTTTTCCAATGCTGTTCACCTGAATACTTAATCCTGAAATTTCATCCAATACTTGCTTGAGCGATGGTTCTTCACTAACAGTATTTTTTGTGTGAAGGACAGCAGTGTTGCTTGACTACTTCATGATAAACCAAATTTCACCTTTGAAGACGGATATTGATAATTTTCGTACATTTCATCTTCAGATACAACATCATCATGAGAAGCACTATGTAATGGCGGCTCTGTATTTTGAACTGAAGCTTCTGTAGTTGATTCTTACACCTTTGCCTGTTTACCACTGTGCAGATAAGCTTTGGCACGATAACGGAATGGTTAGTTTTTAGCTTGCTAATCTCAGGCGACGCTTCGGGCACAAAAGCGCATGATTCTCTTCCTTGCTTGAAAGTGCTTGTCTTATCCACAGGGCAAATTTTGGTAAACTTTTCCTCCGGTGCTCCCCTGAGATGAAGCTCTAAGCACTCTAAACACACATACTTTGCCTTGTTCTCTTTATCCGTTTCATCAATTGCTTTTTTGTTTGCCTTTTTTCTCCAAAATTAAGGGTCAGCTGCCGTTTACAAGACTCATTCTGTTTGAACGCAGCCAAAGAAATGGGTTTTTGCCCTGCAATAATCAAAAGTTGAAAATAAGTAGAATTTTGGAAATTTTAATAAATTTTAGAAATTTTAATAATAAGACTTAATAATAAGAATTTTAGAAATTTTAATAATAAGACTTAAATAAGTAGAATTTGGTAAAAAAGCAAAGGCTATCTTTTTGCAAAGAAAGTACTTAACTCTAGTTAATAATATTTACCTCGTTTTTCACAATTAAAGCAAATAACATTTTCCCCATAACTTTCTTCTTTATCGCTTACAGGCTTACCACAAATTAAATGCACCAAGCCTTTGTACTGAGCACATTTATGACCACCACCAACCTCTTTCTGGTAAACAGTACATTTCATTTTGTTTGGACTTGCAATAGTTTGCAAAATATCTCTGCTGTCAACCTTAGTTTTTAAATGTATTTAGACGAACAACAACTTGGCAAAATAGAATTAAAACATTGTTTGTAATGCATACAAATAAAGTTTTCCCGGCAAACAACTGGTTTTCTATTGAGTATTTGTCACTTATTAGTGTATGATATGAGCTTGTAATTTATTCGTTCATACCTCGATCTCTTCTTCTTCCATGTAGTACATGTACTTTATTAAAAAAGCAGTAAAAAGAATGGATTGCTGAATTCACTTTTTCTGCACTAAAAACACGTCTACTTTTATCTGGCAATATCTGCACGTGTATTTAATTTGTTTGACCTTTTCACTTTTGTTTACAATTTTCATCGCGTGCTGATACACGTGCATTAGTTTCGTGCAAAAAATATAAATCTATTTTGTAATATTTTGCATAGTTGCGTCGAATGTTTTAAGAAATACTGCCATATGATTCTGTATGAATATCGCAATACCACGATGCATTCTCGGAGCATATTTCAATTGGAAGCAATTAGGATTATTTTTTATCCATCGTAGGGTCTAAACGAGATAACTAGTTCAAAATGGTCTTGTGAAAATTTATTCCTGAATAAGTAAATAAATGAATTACTTCCAGAGAGCATTTCTTTGGTCATGTCTATTGTTGACGTAGTTATTTGTAGTTACAAAACCAATTATAAATGTTTGCGTTGATGACTGGAGTCATTCTGAAAGGAATTTAGAGCTGTTCATGCTCTGACCCCTGAATCTGACGTCCTCGGTCTTCCTTTTTGTGGAGGGTCGTTATTCTGTTTGCAGGGGAATGACTAGAGAGATTTATGACCTCCTGAAATGCCATTTCCAGCATTTTTAAGAATATAACTTGTAAGCCGATTAGGAAAAAGTTATTATGAAGAGTAAAGACTTTATAAAATAAGACAAAATTAAAATCAAAAAATGAATGTATTCAATTTTTTGTGAAGGATGGACAACTTAAAACCCTGCTGATTACTACAATTATATTTCAGCATTGAGAGACTGGGAGAGAAAGGGTTATTTTTTCACTTTTAATGAACTATATTTTGTTTGTAGTTATCTATTTACAGGAAAGTTTCTTATTTCTAGTACTATATAATCTTTAGCTATTTAGGTACTCGTTGTATATCATATGGCCTTAGTATTGGAAAACGCTTAGTCGATCAGTTAAAAATTTCTTGTCGCTTTGTAAAATATCATATACGTCGAAAAAATGACAATAAAATTTAATTTTTATATTCATGTAAAATAACACCATGCTTCCATTTTAGTTCTCATTTTTAAAGTAATCCATACAATTTTCGCTGGTTCATGCTTTTCTTGTCCGCTCCATCTAGTTTTATATTGTGCGTGTTTGTATAATAG